AGTCAGCCTATGAACTCAGGTATTTCTGGGGAGAACTCAGAAAATGAAGTCATCTTTTCTTTCCTTTCTCTTTTTTTCTTTCCATCCTCCTTTTCTTCCTTCTCTCTTCCTTTATTTCTCTCTGTTTTTCTCATGTTAATAATATAGAAGTTTATTTCTGTCTCTAGTGTAACAATTTAGAGATCTCTGGTCCAGGACTGATGAGGTAGCTCAGTCATTCCCAACATGAAGCCTCAGTCTCTGAGTGAGAGTGGCTGCTCTGGCTCCTGCCTTCACATCTGCCTCCCAGCCAGCAGAAAATAGGAAAAAGCAAGAGTTTGCTTTTGACTAATCTAATCTACCTTATTGCAGGACTAGGACTGGCAAAAGCCAAAGGAACAGAAGTCAAGTGCATCTGTAAAGCTGAAAATTGGAAGGTTGCCAAGGTTTAAATCTTGATTTGGTTTACCAGCCGCAGTAGTTTCCTATGCCTGCTGTAACAAATTACCACAAACTTAGTAAACCTCAAAGTTCTGGAGGCCAAAAGGTCAATATCAGTGTCACTAGGTGGAAACCAAGGTTTCTTTCCAGAAGCTCTAGAGAATCCTTCCTCATCTCTTTCAGCTGCTGGTGGCTGCCACCATTCCTTTGCCTGCTGCCACATTGCTGCGATCTCTGCCTTGTCTTCACATTGCCGTCTCCTCTTCTGTGTGTCTGCTCTTCCTCTGCCTTTCTCTTAGAATGATACATGTGCAGGCATTTAGAGCCCAGTTGGATAATCCAGGATAATCTCCTCGTCTCAAAATCCTTATACTAATCACATCTGTGAAGACTTCTCCATAAATGGTAACATTCACTGGTTCCAGGGATTATGAGCTGATGTCTTGGAGGTCCACCAGTTAGCCTACTACGCTACCCGTATGACCTTGAGCCAGTGTCTTGGCCTCACCCTGCCTCAGTTTCTTTACTGTAAAATGACAGTAGCTACCTTCTTGGGCTATATGAGGATTAACTAATCACATAAGGCACTTGAAAGAGTGACCAGTATGATAAGAGCTTTCAAATTGTGAGCCTTTGATATGATCACGAGTCTTTGGCTATGACTCAAATCTCCATAAGGACAGTCTCTGTCTTTGTCCCATTCACCATGTATTCCCAGCACCTGCTCAAGGACGTGCATATAGTCAGTGCTCAGTAAATATTTAATGCATGCATGCCACTGTCTGGCTGTGTGACTTTAGGGAAGTTGTTTCCCCTCTCTGGGCCTCAAGTTTCTCCTGCTTCGTGAAGAGCTGCTGGGAAAGTACATTTCTCTGCCTGGAAAGGCATGTGCCTGTCAGGGGTGGAGGGCTCAGGATCAGGGACCAGTCACAGCTGCTTCTCTCTGAGTCACCAGATTTCTCAAAGCCAAATGTCTAAACATTATGAGCAAGCTGGTTGGAGATAAGGTGGAGAAACATTATTTGGCCAAAGAAACTTCAGCCAAGGTGCTGGGGCTGGACTTCCCTGGAATTTTTCATCAGCATGACTTAGCTAAGAGGCAGCTTAGCACCTGCCAGGAAACAGGCTGCTGATCCGCACGCAAATGGGGTGAACCAGACGCCTGCCTTTGGTGCTTAGAGCCTGCTCTGGCCACCTCTGTTCATAGAGCCAGAATCTAGTCCAATCCTCATGACTCAAGTGGAGAAACTGAGACCCAAAAAGAGTGAAGACCAGGTCCAAAGTTATACTGTATGACCGCTGCCCGGTGAGGTCAAGACCCAGGAGTCCTAACTCCCAGCCCAGCACCTGCAGGAATCAGTCAGGCAAAGGTATAGGGAAGGCTGCAGTCAGGAGGTGCAGCACGTGCAAATGCCAAGGGGTGAGAGACAGGACCTAAACTAAAAAACGAGGGAAAGTGAGAGAAAGGGGGCTATGTGTGCAGGACTTGGGACTCAAGCCTGAGAGCAAAGGGAAACTTTGATGGCTTTAGGAAGAGGAGCAACAGGATCTGAGAGTCTCTTTCCAAGTGTGTCCACTGACCATCAGCATCAGAATCATCCCTTGTGGGGTGGAGAGGAGATTATCAAAATGTCAGATTCCTGGAGTCCACCAGAGATGGGCTCTCCATTGTAACACACCCCTGTTCCAAGGGGGTTTGGTAGTACACCCACTATTTTGGTGAAGACAGAGATGCTGAACGACAATCCGGTGAAAAGGTCTGGATTCAGCCAAACCTGGTTTCAAATCTCAGCTCTGCCGCTGGCTTGCTAGTGTGGCTTTGGGCCAGTCACTGTATCGCCGTGAGCCTCCATTTCCCCACCTCTAAAATGGAGACAATCTCTATTTGTCTCACAGGTTTCTTCTAAGGATAACTAAGATAATGTATATAAAGTTCTCAACACAGATCTAGAACCTTCTTAGTGTTCAAAACACACTGGTTACTGGGACTGTGGTGGCAATGTGCAGTGATGGAGGGGACAAGCATGGAGCCAGGGAGACCAGATGAGGAGGTGGCTGCAGGACTCCAGGCAAGAGACCTGGTTGGGATGCAGAAATGGGGATGGGCAGGGGTGCTCTGCATGCACCAGGTGGGACCATCCGGGTACACCACACTGTGGGAGACGCCTGGGGTTATGCCAGGACACGGTCTGGGGCTGGGGAGAAGAGGATGGAGTCAACAGAGAGCATAACAATAGTAATTACATCAGTGGCCACAGACTAGGCGCTCAGCATGTGCTAGGCCCTGTGCTAGCTGCTTCTGAACTTTATCCTCACTACAACCCCAGAAGGTGGGGATCATTTTATCCTAGAATTTCTCAACCTCGATACTATTAACATTTGCACCAGATAATTCTGTAGGGGACCATCCTGGGTGCTTCAGGGTGTTTGAGAGCATCCCTGGTCTCCACCCAGTAGATGCCAGTCCCCTTCCCCAGTTGTAACAGCAAAATGTCTCCAGACATGCCAGATGTTTCCCATGGGGCAAAATCACCTTCAGTTAAGACCCACTGCTTTATCCTCATTTTACAAGGAGCAAACGAGCAGCGCAGAGAGCCAAGGCATCTTGCCCAGTCACCTAGCAACAAGGTAGCAGGATTTGAACTGAGGCCTGGCTCAGAGCCCCGGATGTTCACCTCTGTTGTGAAGGAGGTCAGATCTTTACAGTGGCAGGCGATGAGTGGGACTTGCGGACCGTGATCTGGTCCACAGGGGCAGCCTGCCAAGGACGTAGCTGTGTTAGTTTAGGTTGTTTACTGGGGGAGGTTTGGGGAGTGGTGGTAGAGATTATGAGGGAGGCAAATTCATCCGCACCACCAAGCTTCCTCTAGACATCGCCTCTGATGGCCCGGGATGGGAGAAGCTGTGAGGGCAGCTGAGCCCAGAACCCTGCTGCCAGGAGCCTCCCCAAAACATTCTCCAAGACCCTCACGCTAAATATTTATGCTGGGAACTCTTCTCCTTTCTGTATGGGCTGCTGGAGGCTTAGAGATGAGTTCATGCAATTTGGGGAGACAGAATCCAGTGAAAGGAGAAAGGTCAAGGCCAGAGGCCAGAGGTCAGGAGAAAATAGTTGTAGCTGGAAATAAATGTCCATCCCCTTAGCTTGACATCCAGAGAGCCTTCCAGCGGGGGACCCAGTGCCAATAGTCATCTCCCTTGGGGAGGCACGGAGTTCAGACGTGTTTTTGTTTTTTTTAAGAGATGTGGAATAAAATGATATGTTTCTTTTGCCCAGGCTTAATCTTTTTAAGCTTGGGAGTTGGAGATGAGGGGACAATTAAGTCGAAAAATCTTGCCCAGAGAAGAAACCACTTTTCTAGACCAAAAATACTTTATTTATACAGATGGTTGCTGTAAAAGGCCCGACTGGGCCGTTAAAGAAGGGAATTTATGATAGCCTCTGGGTGGGCTGAGCTGTCGGAGTCAAGTCCTGCCAGTTCAGGCTGCCCTGGGCTCTGCTCTCCATCACAGATGACAGGCCCACTGAGGGGTTCTTCTCCCAAGTGATGGAGAATAAGCCCTCGAGCTGTTGGACAGGCTTCTGCTCACCGGTCTTTAAGTGTCTGAGGTGCCCCTTCTAACCTCTAGGCTGGGATGACCCCCGGAGCTTGGAGATCTTGGTAGGAGAGTTGCATGGAGTTTTATGCATGTTTTCAGTAGGAAATGGTGTTCATTAAAGAAATATGTGCCTGTTAGCCCTCACTTCCTCAGCAAATGACATCACCGATGCGTGTGTATATGTGTGCCTGTGTGCGTGTGTTGCATTTTCTTTTCCATCTTTGTCTTTGTTCTTCCACCAAAGTAAAAACTGTTTGGAAGATATTTGAGAGATGGGAAAACAGAGGGAAGGAGTGATTCAATCCAATCTTCTCTCTTGTAGGATAAAAATGTGTTTCTAGATGTTTCTAAGCCAAGACTGGGTTTTTCTCCATCTTTAATGTGCAGCTCAAACACCTGGTGGGCTTGTTAAAAGCAGATTCTGACTCAGTAGGTCTGGGGTGGGGTCCGAGATGCTGCGTCTCCAACTTACCGCCAAGCCTTGCTGGCACTGCGGGTCCAGGGACCATATTTGGAGCGGCTGGGCCTCAGCACACGGCTTGGCACTGGAGGTCATTGCCAGAGGCGATCTTATTGTTAGCCGAGTGCGCTGTTCATGCCCCTGCCTCTGGACCTTTGCTTCTGCCATCCCTGCCGCCTGGCATGCCCTCCCTCTCCCTGCTCAGCTGTTCATGAGCACCTCACCTTCTCGGAGAAGGCCCTGCTCCGGCGGGTGCTTGCCCCACTTAAGGACTCAGGGAATGTCTGAGTGGAAAGATCTTTGAGACGATCCTGTTCAACACTTCCCAGAGTTCCCATGTGCTTTGTGGCAAGAGCTAAAGTCCCAGCTTACTCTGGCTGCCCTAACCATTAAAAATTAATTATTGGCTCATGTGAATGAAAGCCCAAAACTACTTATTGAGGCAATGTTCATGATAATCAGAAACTACATTCTACACGCCAACCAGGAGGAGCTGACCAGGACAACTGCTGTTTTGTAGAAACATGGGAGCTTTGCCTGTGCTGACCTGAAGATCTCCAACATTTATTATTAAGAGAGAAAAGAGCCCAGAGAATAGTACGTACAATATGATACCATTTACTTAAAAGCACACCGAAAAGGCCTTTGTGTTTTCTACCAGTCTGCGTGCGTTTGTGGGCTGTGCAGACTGCGGCAGGCTTTCTCAATCTGGCCACTGCTGACGTCTGGAGCAGGGCTGTTCGCTGGGGGGCTGCACTCTGCTTTGTATGCTGCTCAGCAGCACCCCCGGCCTCCACCCATTTGCTGCCAATGGCACCACTCCCCCAGCTGGGACAACCCAAATGTCACCAGATGTTGCCATATGTGCCCTGCGGACAAAAGTGCCCCCATTTTAGAACTACTGGACTAAGCTCTGGAAGGGCTCATTTCAAAGAGAGAGGATCGGTTATCTCTGGGGGGCTTAGGAGGGCTGGGAGGCAGGTGGAGTGTTTTGTTCATTACTGATTCATTCATTCATCTATTTCATACATATTATGCCAGGCACTGTGCTAGGAACTAAGGATGCAGTGAAGAGGAAACCAAAATCCCTGCCCCTGTGGATCTGACGTGCTTGTGAGAGAAGCAGACAAGAAACGAATGAGTAAGACATCAGTACGTAAGACGGTGCTGAGTGCTAGGAAGTAAAATAAGGCAGCCAAGGGGCTGGGGAGGTGGGGACTTCACAGCCTCGAGGACAATGTTTTGATTTCTTAGGAGAATATATCCATGTGTCATTTGAGTGTTTTTAAAAACCTTTAAAGACTGGGTGGGCTGAGCTGATTCCAGCCTGGCGCCCTGCAGCTGGGGAACCCTCGACAGGCTGCACTCCCATGCCTGGGCAGCAGTTGGCCCTGACCTCCCCTCCTTCCCCAAATTCTTCCACCTTCAGACCAGTAATGTCCTTGACAGGTAGCCTCAGGCCTACAGCTGACAGCTGGCAGGACAACCATATCCACGGGTCCTCAAGGAGCTGTAAAAATAATAACAATGGCCCTTGAGGCCCTGGATGTCTTCCCTGACACCTCTCTGACTCCATCTCCTCCCACTTGCCCCCCGACTCACTAGGATCCAGCCTCACTGACTTTCTTTCTGCCGCTTAAACATTCAAGCTTGGTCGTGCCTCTGGGCCTTTGTACTTGCTGGGCCTAGAATGTCTTCCCCAGGATCTCCGCACCACTTGCTGCTTCTTATCAGCCAGGTATCCACTCCGATGTCACCTCCACAGAGAGTCCTTCTCCAACCCCCACTCCCCGTCAGAGGAGGTCCTTTCTCCAAATCTCTTACCCACCCCTCTCCCTGCCATTTCTTTCACTGGACTTGTTACTTGATGACATGATTCTGTTTGATTATTTGCTGGATTGTTAAGGTGCTTCCCACTAGAATGTCAGCTCCATAAGAAAAGGACCTTATCTTTTGATAACATGTGAACAAGTGCCTGGCACATAGTAGGTGATCAATAAATACTTGGACAAATGAGTAAATGAGTGAATGGAGCGTCTCCATGAGTATGACTGCCTACCAGGTGCTTCTTAAACCTTTCTCCATTTCCTCTGGGTTCTTTTGGTTGCTTTTGCTGTTTGCTATGTCTGTGTGCTCGCTATACTATTATTACTTAATGTTTTTCTTTAAATCATTTTTTTAATTAAAGGAATTTATGCAAAATAATCTTGATGCTATCCGTAGAAATAGAGAACCAGTATCATCATATATTGGCTATAAAGAGTAGGAAAACTGCACAGATAAATTCCAGGAAGATGCAACATTATCAGAAATTCTCACTGGATACCCATGCCACTGGTGGTGCCATGCCTGGCGCTGCTCTGTTTTTGTTTAAAAGGAGATTGGCGAATGTCTGAGAGGCTCTCAAGACAGGGTAGCTCCAATCGGCAGCTTTTTTCTTTGCCATGATAGTAGGATTAAAGAACTGATATAGGAACAATGCTGTCACTGCAGGACTTACCATCATGTCAAGTCAAATCTATAGATGGTGAAAGGTACCACCAGTGGTGCCCTCTGAACTTCAGGGAGTGCCATGTGAGTGCCCTTGGCACAGTAACTTCATGAAGAAGGGCCCACCATTGCCCCCATTTTACAGATGAGGAAATGGACACTTGGGCAAGTCACACAGCTGGCAGGTGGTAAAGTCAGGATTTGTACTCAGATCTTAATCACTCAATCCACATCCCAAGTTCTTCCCCTATGCTATAGAAAAAGTGCCATCTGATCTAAAATGGACTATTTACTTTTGGACCTCTGACTTGGGCATTATCCCGACCTTAGTTCCCCACCCACTGAGAAGGGATGCCAAGATTAATCGTGAGGTGATAAGAACTTGGGATCTGGAGCTGCCCAGCCCTGCTTTGAACCTGGCTCTTTCCCTACCAGCTGTGGGGCCAACACCCTGTCATTTCTGCTCTATGAGCTTCAGCTTTCCCACCCTAAATGGACGCCTCAATAGTACCTGCCTTCGAGGCTTCTTGCGAAGGGTCATGGTCAGTGCAATGTGTCAACATGGCTAGACGCCGGTGCTCAGCTGTCAGTCAAACACAAGCACAGATGGTGCTGCTACGAGCTTGTGTTTTGTAGGCGTGATTAACATCTGTAATGTGGACTATATGTGAAGGAGAGTATCCTGGATCCTCTGGGCAGACCCGACCCAATCAGTTGAAAGGCCTTAAGAGCAGAACTGAGATTTCCCGAAGCAAGAAGAAATTCCACCTGCGGACAGGACAGGAGCGTCAGCAACAGCCTGCCTGTCCTCCTGAACTGCCTGCCCTGCAGATTTCAGACCTACCAAACCAGACTCCACCACCAGGTAAGCCAGCCCCTTGCAATCTCTCTCTCTGTCTCTGTCTCTTTCTGTCTCTTTCTATCTCTGTCTCTGTCTCTCTGTCTCTTTCTGTTTCTCTGTCTCTCTGCCTCTGTCTCTCTCTCAATTGGTGGAACCTTGAGTGATTCAAGAAGGATAAACAAATACCAGAAAGTCTGGCACATAGTAAATGCTCAAGAAATGCTGGTGCCATTATGGCCGCTTATTCTGCTCCTCCCTTAAAAGAGCAGGTCCCGACTTGAGGCCATTCTGAGACCCGCAGGCACGGCTGGAAAGGCACCGACCTGGGGGCCAGAGGATGGTGGCTCAGCCTCAGTGTCACCCCGTCCCTTCCTAGCGGGGGGTCTCCTCTGAGCCTCAACATGCTCCTCATCCATCCTCAACATCTGTAGAGTCACAATAATATTCTCTCTCACAGGCTTGCTGTGATCCGATGCCACCCTGACTGTATAACACCTGGGACGTTAGAGATACTTGATTAAGCCTCACGGGACTCCACCTGTGTTCATTTACTCAGCACGGCATAGGCACAAATGCCCTGGGCTGGGCATCACAGTGGCATAGAAGCCAGGGCATCACGTGGCCTGTCTCTGAACACAGACACAACCAAACATCTCTGAATAAAGATACACCCTCTCTGTGGGGTTCCCGGGACTGGAGGGAGCCGGGAGGGAGGGGCGGGACTGCCCTGAATGACTCCGTCAGGAACACGGTGACCCAGTAATTTTCCTCCACGATCAGTGTTCCTTGGGATTAAGTCCTAACCTCTCCCCACCACCCCCAACCCATCCCTCCGTCCGTCCCCTACTGAGGGCCTCTGAGGTGCCGGCACTGCGTAGACGAGGCACAGGCCTCTCTTGGGCACCACAGTCCCTCATTCCTGCCTCCACCCCTCCTTCTCGGGAAAACCCCTCTCCTGGGAGATCCAGAGGCCAGGAGGAGCTCAAGGGGGAGCACGTGGACTCCGACCCCCCACCATGAGGAGAAAGAGAAAAGCTTTGCTTTGCCCAGGGACATCAGCCAGTGGGCCTGGGCGGGGGCGGCTGCAGCTCCCCGGTGGGGGGGGGCAGTGGGGACCACGTCCCGAGGGGGAGATGGGGGGCGACGACAGACACACGCAGCCTGAGAGACAAACAGCAGAGAGAGAGAGAGAGAGAGAAGGAAAAAGACAGAAGGAGAGACAGAGAAAAGGGGAGACAGAAAGGGAGAGACGGAGAGTGGAGGGAGAGGTAAGCCCCGCGGGTGGCAGGGCAGGGCACTGGCCCCTGTGCTTCCCATCCCAGCCGCCCAGGACCCCCACTGCTCTCAGGACCAGCCCAAGCTCCCCTCGCCCCCGCGGGTGACTGGCCCTCCCAGGCCCCTCCTGCCCTGCCGGACATGCTCCCTGGCCTCCAGGCCCTTGTCCAGGCTGGGCCCTCCGCGCGGAGACCCGCCCCCCTCCTTGTCCCCCTCCCCACCCCATGGTCTCAGCTCAGACCCTGTCTCCTGAAGGAAGCCCACCCTGACTCCCTCTCCATGGGCAGGTGCCTCCTCTGGGCTCCCTCGGCCCCCGGGGCTTCCTTCCCCCATCCCAGCCCAGGCTTCTTTGCCTGGGAATCGTCTGTATCCCTGTAACCAGCAGCTCCAGGGAACTGGGACCTTGTCCCCCTTGTTCCCTGTCATGCTCCAGGGCCAGGCATGCAGGGGATGGGAAGGCGTAGAGAAGTGACTGGGATAGGGTGCCTTTGGCCAGGAGGCTCGGGGTGCCTGTGTGTAAGAGGGGGAAAGAAATGGGGAGGAAAAGGGAGACAGAGACAGAGAGACAGAGAATGAGGTCACCTGCCAAAGTGGTAGGGGACACCTACAGCCTGGGAGTGCAGGACCAAGCAAGCGGGGGCAGGACTCCCAGCCACCACACACCCCCGCATGAGGTCACACAAAGGTGGGGCAGGGGGCCCAGGAGCTGGGCAGGGCCCCGCCGGGCGACAGTGCACCAGCTGTTTGTTGGGAAGGCATCTGGTGTTTGCCCCAAACTGACCAAGAGCCCTGCTCCTCCCGCCAGAAGGTAGTGGGTCCTGGAACTGCAGGCACTGACGTCTCCCTTGCTTCTTCCTCCTCAAACGCCACCTCTGAGACCGCGGGCTGGCTGAGTCCAGCCCGGGGACACAGGGCCACACACGGTCCCAGCCTCCTGGCTCCACAAGGGCCGCCTGGGACCCCCTGCTGCGGGGGAAGTCGCCGCACACAGCTTCGCTCGGGAGTTCCCATCTCACCACTGCACGAGGTGTCACGTGGCAACGGAGCCCTGTTTGCCATGCCTCCTGGGCCCCCCAGGGAATGGGTCCCACAGAGTCTGAGCCCCTTGCCCCACCCAGCAGAAGGACATTCTAATTACAGCCTGAGGTGGCGCGCTCCAGCTAGGTCCGAGGCTGTAATTCATAATTCATTTCGTACTGCCACCAGACTTGTGTGGGAGACACACATGCTGTCTCCATTTTACAGATTTGGAAACCGACGCAGAAAGGCTGAATCCTGTCACAGAGTGGTAAGCAGCAGGGTTGGGACTTGCACCCCAGTGGCCTGGCTCCCAGGGAATATGTCGCCATCATCTTAGTGGAAAGCAGCCCCATGGAGAGGGACACATTCCACTCTCCCCAACCTCAGCGAAGTGCCCACGATGGACACAAGCAGAGGCAGGGAGACCCCAGGGCTCTGGCCTCAAAGCCCGGGAAACAGCTCTAATGTCACCTCCCCCTTCCTTGCTCCTGGCCATGCCACCCCCCAATTTTGGTGGCATCTCTCCCACCAGCCCAGGTCTCCCCTGTTAATCACTTGACGCCAGGAACTACAAAATCCACCCATGCAGGCAGGATCTCGTCTGTCAGGCTCAGGGCTGCGGCCTGTGGTTGGGCCCATGGTAAGTATTCCACACATTTTAGTCAAAGACCATTTGGATCAGTTGTTAGTTGATTGGTCTGTGTGGCTCAGATGCAGCCCCAGCACCGGCTCTGTGACCCTGGGAAACCATGTCTCCTCCCTGGCTCCCTTCCCTCATCTGTGACATGGGTGTCATAAAGCTCATCTCTCAGATCTTATACATACTAAATACTCAAAAGAATAGCTGTTGAATGAATGGAAATCAGAGCTGAAAGGGCCATCGGAGTTCAGGGTTGTGAATTCAGACACCCCAACATCCCAAGGAAAGAGTCAGAGATGACTGAGTGGGCTGGTGGGGGGACCGCAGTAGCACTGCTCAGCTCTAGTCACCAGCTGCCAGATCTCCCCATTTCTCAACAGCAGTCAGAAACCTAGAGTTTTCCAAGAAGTTTCCCAACTTCCTAAGTGTTGGCAACTAATTTAAAACATTTGCACACATCTGTGAGCAGGATATGACTGCAGGCTGTATGAGATCCCCAAATAATCCAACCCCTTGTGGCACAGATGTGGAGATCGAGGCCCAGAGAGGGTGAGCCGCCAGCCCCAGCTCACAGAGCACAGGAAGTGGAGGGGATACGGCAACCCTCTTCCCCTGCCGCAGCTCTTCTGTGCAAGCTCAGGCACAGGCTGACCTGCCTGGCCGTGATCCCAAGGGAGGCAGCGCAGCCTTCTCCTCTTAGGCCTGGCAGTTCGAGGTGAGGGAGGGGTCACAATGTCTCTGCCCACCCCACCTAGACCAGGCTGTGTCAGGCACTGAGATGGAGAGAATAAGTCCAAGCAACAGGCTGGCCTAGGAAGCAAGATCTGGGTTGGGGGTGGGGGGTGGGCTTGGAAACCACTTCAGCAGACAGGGCAGAGCGGGACGGGACAGGCCTTGGTGCCACTCCTGTCTGGAGAAACATGGTTTGCTGCTAAGGCTGGGACTCTGGCCCAGCACTGCCCTCAGAGACCTTGCTGAGCAGTTCCTGTGTGCCAGGCCCATCTCACCAGAGTTCATTTGGCCCCCCACCACCACTGACCTCTCTCAGTCCATCCCCCTGGCTCCCTCTGCCCCAGTGACCATGGCTGCCCTGCTGCTTCCTGGCACACACCAGGCATACTCCCACCTCAGGGCCTTTGCACTTGCTGTTCCCTCCACATGGTACACTTTCCCCCACTATCCATATGGCTGAGGTCCTCACCTCCTTCAGGCCTCTGTTAAATGTGACCTTCTTAGTGAGGCCCTACCTGCCTGTTGACCCTGTTTAAAGTCATAAGCCATCCCAACATTCCCTATCCTCTATGTGGCTTTATTTTTCCCCACAGCACTGTCACCATCTAAGCTGTTATATGTTGCACTGTTTATTTGTATATTAATTTTCTATTGCAATAGCAATTGCAACCAATATGCACAACTTAGTGACTTAAAACAACATAAATGTATTATCTTATAGCTCCAAAGGTCAGAAGTTCAAATGGGATCTCATTAGGCTAAAATCAAGTGCAGGGCTGAGTTCGTTCTGGAGGTTCCAAGAGAGAATCCATTGCTTTGCTCTCTCCAACTTTGACAGGCTGCCTGCGTTTCTTAGCTCCGTCCACCATCTCCAAAGCCAGCAGTGGAGCAGCCAGTGTCTCTTGTGCTGCGTCCTGCGGCGACTCTCATTCTCCTACCTCCCTCCTGCACTTATAAGGACCCTGTGCTTACACTCGGCCCACCGGATAATCCAGGACCATCTCCTAGGTGAAGGTCAGCTACTTGGCATCCTTGATTTCCCCCTCAGCATTCTCAGGTTCCAGGGCTTAGGACGGAGACATCTTGTGGGGAAGGGGGTCATTATTCTACCTCCCACCACCACCCCACACACCCCTGAAACAGCTCCAGGAGGGCACAGGTTATTGTCGGTCTGGTTACTACTTCATGCCCAGTGCCTGGCACTTAGTGGGAACTCAGTAAACGTTTGGTGACTGGAAGGGTTGATGGATCAGAATGTGGTGGCTGAAGGCAACAGAGGTATGAGAGGTGACTCAGACACCCCAGGAGCCATCCCCATCTTACTCACAAGGAGACCTTGGTTCAGAGGGACCCAACAGGCTGCAGGCTGGGAGCTGTGACTTAGCCCCTGACCTTAAACACCAGCCAGAGCACAGCCTGCATCATCACCCTGTACCCACAAAGACAGATAGAATATGAGTGGTTTTGCTCCCTTATCACTTAGCTCTGCCCATTCTGGGAAGGAACCACATCTCTCATTTCTCTGACAGGCCCCTGGCTGTGGGTGGGAGCCCTGGAGAGGCCTGAGGTCTGGGAAGCTCGGAAAGGGTGGAGTCCTGGCACTGACCCCTCTCTACAAGCGCCCTCTGCAACCCTCAAGAACTCTCCTCCCAAGGCCATGCCAGGCTGTGCATGCAGACAGCTGCCCAGGCCCAGCCTGCCCATGTGGGGCCCAGCAGGCTGGGGGTGCAGCAGGACCCCACATTAGTCACATAGCGGCTGGAGCTCTCCCCTCCAAGTCCTGCATGTCTTCCTGGCTTCAAAGGAGACAGGCTTGGGCCCAGGTTTCCTCATGACTGAAAAATGTTCCAGCCAAAGGACATGAACAAACAGCCCACTGGAAAGGAAGCTGAAATAAATGGCTTTTCGGCAAGAGATGTTGAGCCACATAAATCAACAAGCAGGAACTGCGGAAACAGAGTATTAGGTGAAAGAAGTGAAAAACAGAAGAACTTTTCTGTAAATTAAAAGCATTCACACATAAAATGATACCACTTGTTTTATAAAGATACATATACACCCAGAGGCATATGTCATGGTCCTGGGCATCAAGGATGAAGGAAAAAATAAAAATAAAACAACGGAGGTCCTGACACAAACCCATGGTAGCTGGTTTAATTCAATAAACAAAAGGTGCTCTGCTTCATTCTTAATTTTAAAAGACAAATTTAAACTATACTACGATACCTGTTTTCATCTATGAGAGCCACAAAAAATTTAAAAAGTTCATAATACATAGTGTCAGCAAGTTTGTGGGGTAACAGGCACCCTCACACATTGGTGAGAGAATAAATTGGAACAACCTCTACAAAGTGCAATTTGATCATATAGATCTAAATGGAAAGTGCACAAATCTGGCATAAACTCTGATATCCAGGGATTTCCTCCACAGATAGACTCAGACATGTGCACAAAGATATCAAGGAGAAAGGCAATTACTACAGTTTTGTTTGGGAATAGCAAAAACTGGAAATAATCTAAGGTTCAGCAATAAGGGAATGGCTAAATTAAAGACAGTTCAGTGACACAATGGAATGCTACACAGCTGTTAAAAGGGATGATTCTGCCACGTACGTGACAAATTAGGAAGATCAACAAAATATGTCAAGAGGAAAAAGCAAGACACAAGACATGAGCTGTATTATGCTTCTTTTTGTGTAAATTAAGAGGGGTCCTGAGGTGCCAGAACTGGGTACAGGGTGCCAGATCTTAGGGGGCTGAGACCGTCAAGGTCACAGTAAGATTAATGGATAGCATTTTCAGTTTCATGAGTTAAACTCAGATATGCATGGAGTTCTAGAGTCTGGACTCGCTGCTGTGAAGTTTGGAAGGAGATGATGATAATACTGACAATAATAATGACAGTGGTCGACACTCTGCAGCACTTACAAGAAGCCGAGTGCTTACACATTAACTCATTTACTCCTCACAACCACTCTATAGATAGGTGTTGTCACAATTTCACAGAAGAGAAAACTAAGGCACAGAGAGTGAAGTAAATACCCCAAGGCCACACAGCTTGTGGGAGATGGAGAAGGTCAGGATGCACCACTAAGGAAGAGGAGCTCCTTTCACTCCTGAGTCCCAAATCCAGCCTGCCTCACTCCCTCTACCTCTGCTGACCACACAGAATGGACAATCCCAACAATCCCCTCCTCCCAGATAATGCTGATTCATGCTTTGAGAATGGGGTCTGCACAAATGCAAATTGAGAGAATGCCATTCTCTCAAATGAAAAGACATGCACACACATAAAATCCTATTACTATATGCCAAGTATTCTACATGAACGAACTCATCAGCTCTCCACAATGACATCAGAGGTGGAAACAGTCATGATCCCCATTTCTCTGCAAGGCCCAGCAACTTTCCCAAGATGCACAGCCAGGAAGCAGCAGAGTTGAGATTTGACCGCAGGTATTGGCTTCTCCAGATGGAAAAGCTGTAGTCCGCCGGACAGTCTCTGTTGGTAGGCCTGGAAGCCGTCTCCAGGTTTTCCCTATCACAAAAACACTGAAGTGAACAGCCTCACTGATGTGTATGTGCAACCATATACTAGTTCATCCGTGGGATGGATTCCTAGAAGTGAAATTGCCAAGTCAGAAGATGGATGTGCATTTCTATTATTGTTAGGTACTGCCAAAAGGGAAAGAGACTGCTCGTTTTCCCACATCCATGCCATCACTGGGTGTTACTGTTTTTGCCAAACTGTTGTGTGAGAGGCGCCCTTCCTTACAGACCTAGGCAGGTCATGGGCACTGAAGAGGAAATTATGTCCCAGCCACAGGCATGCAGACTCCTTTCCTGGCACCAGTTACCATCAGAGCACCTTGCACCAGCTGATCCCTGGGCATCTAGGAGTGGTGAGAACACATCCCAGTGCCTGCTTTTGTCCAGTCCACTTAGCAACTTCAGTGAGAAGAGAAGGCTCCTATTATGGGCTAAACAATTTGCATTTCTGTACACCCCATTCCCAAATTTATATGTTGAAGTTCCAACCCCCTGTATCTCAGAATTGTAACCAAATTTGGATAGTAGGTCTTTAAAGAGGTGATTCCCTTAAATGAAGCCATGAGGGTGAGCCGTCGTCTGATCTGACTAGTGCATGTACAGAGGGATATCACATTGTTAAATACAGGACAACTGGCCCCAAATGGGGTCACATAGGCTAAACCCCACATCACCAAACTGAGACTTAATTACCGTTTGAGCTATCCCAGAAAAGGAAGTCTTAAACCAGTCAATCAGGAATTACTTGATCTGCATCAGTTAGGTCATCCGCCTGGAGACCCCTGCCATCCTCTGCAGGGAAATGACTTTGCCACAGCCAACCTGCTTTTTTGTCTTTCTTGTTCCTGCTGCCTTCTGCTCATAAAAGTCTTTCATTTTGTACAGTTTGTCAGAGCTCCTTTCTATCTGCTTGATTGGGTGCTGCCCAACTCATGAATCATTGAATAAAGCCAGTAAGATTTTTTAAATTTACTCAAATTTTGTTTGAACAATGTGAAGAAGCAACAAGAGTGTGACCATCTGCGAGCCCCGGGGAGAGGCCTCAGGGGAAAACAGGTCTGCCGGCAACTTGACCTTGGACTTGTGCTGACTGTAGCCTCCTTGGCATTTCCTGCAAATTGGCAGCCAGACCCAGAGGCTTGATCTGGGGTATTTTTGAGGAATGAGGATGTGTGAGGAGGCTTGGCACAGATGGGCAGCCCCCAAACACAGTAGCTGAGACTATTGGGAAGTGCCCACATGGTCAGACCATATCCAGTCTCAACAGTCCATCCTGGCTTCCCTCCCTGACACAGACCCCCCACCGCCCCACCTCAGGGAGGTTCCAGGACCACAGAAGCCTGATCCTACTGGGAGCCTGTAATTTTAGCTGTACCTCTTCCCTAAAATTATTTCTCATCTGGAAATGGTTTCCAAGCCCTGCCCAGGGAAGAGTTAGTGGTGGCTGGGACATTTTTCTATTAAAAAAAAAAAAATAAATAAGACCAACCACCAAACGCTGAGTCTTTGCATCCCAGGCTGTAGAGGCTGCCTTGAGGGGCTCTGCCAGAGGAGCCGAAGATGAGATGGACAGTTGGGGCTCTGTTCCCAGGATACCCTGTCCCACCCTGGGCACAGACACTGGCTCTGTGGGTGCAGGGCCTGAGGGCCAGAATGAGTTGAGAAGAAAGCATTTGGTCTGGGGTAGACGGGCTTGCCCAGCTGCTGGGAGACTCAAGAACTGTGGACCCTTCTGGGTCATACAGGGCATCCAGTCCCAGAGAGGCAGTTTTCCCAACAAGGATTTTCTTACAGCTGCTCTGAGCATCACAAGACAAAAAGCTCCCTTGTCACCTAGCATCTCCTTACCACCTTGCTGATTCTCTCATGGCCTTTTAAACAGAGCTCTAGCAGGCCTCTGCCTCCAGACTGAGATAACCAAAGTGCCTGGCAACAGTGTAATGATGTTGTTTAGCTCTTACCTTGCAGGTAACCCTTGAATAACACATTTGAATTGCACGGATCCACTTATATTCAGGGTTTTTATTCAATAAATATATTGGAAAAGATTTTGGAGATTTGCAACAATTTGAAGAAACAACTTCTTTTCTCTAACTTTATTGTAAAAATACAGTATATGATACATATAACATACAAAATATGTGTTAATCGACTATGTTTTAGGTAAGGTTTCCAGTCAACAACAGGCTATTAATAGGTAGTAAACTATTAGTAGTTAAGTTTTAACTTAACTATGACTTAACTATTAGTAATTAAGTAAGTTTTAAGTTAGTTGAGTCAAAAATGCAGATTTTTTACTGCATGAGGGGTTGGTGCCCCGAAACCCCATGTTGTTCAAGGGTCAGCTGTAACTTTCATCATTATCCTTGATCCATGAAAAATGTCATAGGTTTGCCACTTCTGCTAGTGACATATGCTTTCCTTTCTACAGAAATAGGTTCCGTTTTTTTAAAAAAACATGGGTAGAGAGTCCATTTTAAATGTACATTAAGGAAGGGGGAGCACAGATAACGCAAAACGCAGAGCCAGCTGGAGTTTGGGAGACTCTGGGGCCACAGTTAGGAGGGTGCACTCCGGAGCCTGGGGCCTGGGCATGAGTCCTGCTTCTGACAACTGTGGGCTGTGTGATCTTGGGGAAATCACTTTCCCTCTCTGAGTGTTGACGCTATCTGTAGAAGAAAGGGAAGTAATAGCACTTCCTTCACACAGTTATTTCAGAGGAGTCACTAAGACAGTGCTGGGAAAACACTTGGCACAACATCAGGCACATGACTCAATAACTTCATTCATTCAGCCAGAACTCACTGAACCTCCCTCATGAATTCACATGCTTCCTGGAAAAGCAGCAAAGCAGGGCGGTTCACAGAGCAGATTCAAAGCCCAGCCCGCCACTTACTTACTTTCTGTCTGGGCAAGTTGCCCCCACCTCTCTGAGCCTCAGCTTCCCCATTTGTAAAAGGCAGGCATTGCCAGCTCTTTGAGGTTCCCACAGGAGGTAGAGGGCTGTCTTCTGGGACCCCAGCATCCTGTGTGGTTTGTGTCTGACACCAGTGGTTTCCCTGTACGTCTAAGTCCCAGCAAATTGAGCTCCTCCCTACACCAATCTCTCTGCCTCATCCTGCCTTCCTCCCATCTCTTTTTATGCCATTTTAGCCAAACTTGGCTATTGGGTTTCCTTAAACCACCCCGGGGCCTTTGTACATAGTCTCTTTGTCTGAACTGTCTTCCTGCTTCCACCAGGGGAGCTATTGTTCATCCCTGAAAACGCAGATGGGCTTCCTCCTCTCCCCGGAAAGCATCCCCTGAGCTGGGTCGGCTGCACCTCTCTGGGCTGCTCCACCAACCCAGTTTGGACATGTTCCGATTCTCTGAAATGGTCGGTCCAGGAATGTTTTAAAGAAGTTTTGATGCTCTACCACAGTCCACCGTTCGGACACGAAGGCCTGCCTTCCTCTCCTCGGCATGCAGGTACACTCACCCCTCCCCAGCGGAGACCACGCAGATGTCTAGTATACACAGCATATGACCTGAAGGCATGAGATCTGCCTCCACACACTTCACATGCAATGCGGAAGGGAAATTGCCTCTGGCTAGCGACCCCACCTGCCCAGCCTTGGTTACCACCTCTGTACCCTGGGGGCAGTAACAGTCCCGTCTCACTGCGGTTCCGTGAAGGCTACATGGCTTCCTATACGTGGGAAGCCCGTAGCGCAGCCCCTGGGAGAGCGTAAGCGCTTGACTCAGGCAGGAGAAAGCCACCTCCCGGCAGGACAGAGCCTCTAAGACCAGGGCCTGGACTAGGGTAAGGCAAGTGGGGTGCCGGGGTTCAGAATTTAAGCCTGCGCTCACTCAGAGTGGTGCAGACCGAGGTCCTGTGAACCCGGAGTCCCGCGTCTCCGCTCGCCCCCTGCTGGCCACTCTGCAGAACGACAGCCCTCTGTGTTCGACCCCAGTGATCTCCCTCTCAACCCCCGAGCTGGCAGGATGGAGGGCACCTCACCAGCTTCGAGGGACAGGTCCTGCCCCGTGAGAGCCTCGGTTTCTTCACCCATAATGGGCAGGAGAGCCTGGAGAGCCTGCCTCCCACTGCATGGCAAACAGGAGGCCCGCCTCAAACACTTATGTCCTTTCCTCAACACGAGTGTTTAAGGAGCGCCTCCTGTGTGTAAAGGACTGAAGAAGATGATGAGACATGAGCCCTCCCCTTCAGGGGCTTAGGGAGTGGATGGCAAGGAGGAAGAAGCTGGGAATTGTGACTGAAGTTAGGCTCTGCCCCTATTGAGGGTCTATTGAAGGTCTACTGGGTGCCACATACTTGTGGATTAATGATCTCAGAACACAGCGAGATGGAAACCATTTGTATTCCTGTCAGGAAGCTGAGGCCCAGAGAGGTTACTAGCCTGTCCAAGCTGGCACAGCCCGGGTGGTGGAGGAGGTGAGACTGGAACCCACAATGTGTGAGGCTGGGGGCTTTGTGCAGATCCATTCATCCAACAAACGCCTATTGAATTCTGTTTTTGCCAGGCGCATGCTGGACGCTGGGGAGACAGCAGTGACCAGACACTGCCCCTGTGCCCAGGGAGCTGTCTCCTGGAGGAGGTAGGCAAAAAGCAAGGTATGTAAGTAAAATACGTATTATATAAAACAGAGTGCAGAAGGGGGTGGGGGCCGGCTGGAGAAGTTCAATTTCAAATAGTGGGGTGGGCCTGTGGTCTGTTTAGGGCCTTTGGTTTTCACTGGGAGTGAGGTGGGAGCCATGGGGGGGTTCTGAGCAGGGGAGAGACATGGGGGTGGTAGACGGAGGAGTGGGGACGATGCCCTGAGCACCTGCAGGGGATGGAGCTGCCTGGGCGTCAGGAAGGTCAGGTCGGTTTCAGCTGTGGCCATTCTGAGTTGCCCGTCAGTGTGAATGTGGAGTGTGGGTTTGTCTGACTAAACAGCTCGCGGTGACTTCGTACACTGTGAGTCATGCGCCAGTGGGCGATTGCTGCAGCCACCGCCCGTGGTGGTATTCCTGCAGGAACGCTGGGGGGCCTCGGTTGCGGTCTTGCTCCTCCGGGGACCGCTGAGTGGCCTTGGCCACCAGGTGGTGCCAGCGCACTGGCGGCAGGCCTGAGGCAGCGCCTGGCACAGCAGTCCAGGCCCAGCTCTCGGGCAGCCGCCTTCGGACGGGATCATTCCCTGTGGTGGTGGCTGTCCTGTGCATTGCGGGGCGTTTAGCAGCATCTCTGGCCCCCACGCATGCGATGTCAGCAGTATCTGCTGCCCTCCCCAGTGTAACAACCAAAACTGTCTTCAGACGTTGTCAGGTGTCTTCTGGAGGGAAAAATCACAGATGCAGTCACAGCCACTGCCTGGGTGCTGATCAAGGGCATCCACCTACTGAGCGCCCGTGTGTGCCCAAGCCCAGGCTCAGCTGCCAGCCCAGAGAACCTCCCTCCAGCAGGAATCGCACCAGACAGAGCCGCCCCCAGGCGACTGACAGGCAGACATTCGAGACAGCTGGACACCAAGAGCCAACCAAGTTCATCCACCCCGCAGGCGAGAAGTGCCCTGGGTTCCATCCAGGTTTTGCCATTTATTAGCTGTGTGACCTTGGGAAAGTCATGGTAGCTCTCTGAGCCTCAGTTTCCCCGTACATGGAATGAGCTCAGAGTCCATTTCAGAGCCAAGCCCCAGGCTGGGGTCAGGCACCCAGCATAGGAAGGCCACCACCCCCTGCAGGAGCCCACAGGTCTGGACAATGGCACCCACAGTGTGAATACTGCAAATGCCAGTGAATATGTGAACCCCGACATTCCCCTGCCTACATTTGCCCCCATATCATCACCAGACATACTAATTATTTTACACATTTCTCTGGCTTATCATTAGGCTCCCAACTCAAGAATGTGAGCTCCCTGAGGGTAGAGGTTTTGGTCAAAATCATTCAGTGCTGTATCTCCATGGCCAGGACGGTGCCTGGCAGAGGGTAGGGGCTCCATTTGGTTGGATGAGGAAATCCTCTCCTTCCAGTTTGCCACCACAGAGTCCACTCTCAACATCAGGGTCCTGTGGAAACCTACATCAGACCATGTCCCATCAGCTCTTCCCACTCAGAGTGAAGGCCAGAGCCCCCCCCTCACCAGCCTGTAAAGCCCTACATGGGCTACCCCACCGCCAGCCTCATCTCCCTGACCTCATTCCTCCCTACTCTGATCTCAGTTGCTCTGCGCCAGACACACGGGCCTCCTCTCGGCTACTCCCGTGCCAGCACATCCCTGCCTCAGGACCTTTTCACTTGCTGTTCCCTCTGCCTTGAGCTCTCTGCCCCTCAGAAACGGCATGTCTCCTCCCTTTCGTCCAGGGCTTTGCTCAGACGTCACCGCCTGAGAGGCCCCCAGTCCCAGATCCACTCTACCCATTGTCTGATTATTTTTACTACACATATCATTAGCAGAAAGGATGTTGTTGAAATGTTAACTCCCTTATTGTCACTCTCCCCCACCCCTTCCCACTTGGAGCTCACATTCTGGTGAGCTGGATGGTTGGGAAGGGCCTCTTTGAGTGGTGACGTTTGAGTTGTGACTTGATAGATGAGAAGAGACTGGTCATAGGAGAATGAGGAAAGATCTTTTCCAGCAGAGGACACAACAAGTGCAAAGGCCCAGGGGCTGCTCAGTTCCCAAAGCTGCCTTAGAGCAGCATGCCTGTTCAGGCAGGATCTGCTCATTTTGGTGGCAGGTTCCCAGGCCGTGTGCAGTTGCTGGGCTGAAAGCCTTTGGTATGAACAGGGGCTGGGCTAGACCTGGCCATACAAAGGCCCATGGACAGACAGATAGGAAGGACCTAGGGAGGCCCAAGCTGAGCTTCCCTTGTCAGCTCCCAGGAAGCTCTGGCTGGGAACAACTGTTAAGTCTGGAGCTTTCCAGCAGACTCATGTTTCCCTGGGGTGGGGAGAGAAACACAGGTGGCCTTGTCACCTGGACACACAGAGCAGCTGTGACCAAGTGACCTTGGTCAAGTCACCCCACTTTCTCTCTCACATTCACAAGTCAAGGCAGTCACGGGTATAGCAGAGCCAAGGGCAGACCACGCAGAGGGGCCAGCGAGGGCAAATGCCCGGAGGTGAGAAAGAGTTCAGTGAGGTGGAGGAGGTAAGATCGGCAGCAACAGAGAAAACAAGAGAGAGGGCTCAGCCCCCAAAGGAGGACCCTCTGGAGGGCTTTGCCAGGGGAATGGCTTGATCTTATGTGCATTTTAAATCCTCCTATGAAGGGTTTAACCATTACTATCATCCCCATTTGGCAGGTAACGAAACTGAAGCTCCAGAGGTTTAATGACTTAACCTTAGATCACCCAGCTACTGAGAGGCAGGCTCCAACCCCAGCCTGTCGGGCTCTGGGACCTGCAGCACTGGGGGGATTTGAAAGCCGCCCACTGGACCCAACACAGGTCTTGTGAGTCATCAGGCTGTGTCCAGAGCTAACCGCTAGCAACCAGGAGCAGCCCGGGAGGGTCCCTCACAGTGCCCCAGAGGCTGCCAAGTGCATCCACGCCCTTTCCATTCCCCAAGCGGTTCCAGCCACTACACCACCTTGGGCAAGCCCCATGCCTTCTCTGGGCTCAGTGTGGCTGGCCCAACCCCCAGTGCACAGTGCCCCTCTCTTTGTACCACATGGAATGCTGGCCATTTGCTGATGCTGGGTCCAGGCCAGAGGGCAGAAGGGCAGAACAGATAAATGCAGGCAGTGGGGAGCTCCACCGGCCCTCCCCAGCCCAACCCCTGTGGGTGCAGCAGAGCCAAGGCTGCCTCACCAGAACCCCAAGGGCCCAGGCCCCACCCACATAGCAGGACTCAAGAGAAGGGAGGCTCCCAACTCCGGCACCTGGCTGCACCATCCCTCCATCCCTCCCACATGGACTCCCTGACCTGCTTCTCACCCCACCCCTCCTGAGTGCCCTTCAACTAGGTCTCCACCCCCTGTGCCACCAGGTGGCTTTGATGTCACAATTCCTGCTGCCAAGTCCAACCACGGCGTCCCATGCTTGTGGTCACCTCTCAGCAACGTTCATGCCGAGCCCACATTTGTACCCCTTGGCCCCACCACCCCTGGACCACATCCTTGGTGACTTCGCCCATTCCACTGCTTTAAATAAATGTGTGCGTAATGAATCTCAGATTCCCATCAGCACCCTGCTCTCTCCCCTGGGCTCTGGACTGGGATATCTAGGTGCCTACATGAAATATCCTAAAAAGACATTTTGATTTCCCCAAACCCCCTTCCCCACGCAAACCTCCAGTCTGTGCTCCTCAGTGACACTACCCAGTAAGCTCCTGCTCCAAAGGTAGCTTGATCCTCCCATTTCCCACACCGCCACCTGGGAATCATGCCCTGAATTGTCCACCTCTGTCCAACTCCACTGCCACTCCCTGGTCGGAGCCATCAGTTACCCTCACCTACAGCCTCCTTACAGTAGGTAGAGGGAACTTTTAGAAATGTAAATCAAAATATGTCACTGAGCCCGCTAAAACTTTCCAGTGGCCTCTAACTGTCCTTCCAAAAATTCTAAAGTTCTCACCACAGCCACTAGGGCCCCATCTTCGCCTCCCTCCCCCTCCCCTTCAGCCACACTGGTTTCCTTTCTCTTTCCAACAAGCCAAGTTCTTCCCCATCTCAGGGCCTTTGCACTTGCTCTTCCCTCTTCCTGTGACTCTTCCCCCTGTTTTTGCCATAACTGCCTTTTCTTTCAAACCTCAGCTAAAACCTAACCTCCCCAGAGTTCTCTTCCCTGATCACCCAGTGGAAGGAGCCCCACGCTGTGCACTGGCCTCTCTCAACCCCATCACCCTGTCCATTTCCTCCACAGCTTTTAGCATATCTGCAGTCCACTTATTTACTTGTTTATTGTCTTGTTTATTGTCTACCCATCCCTCCTCTCCAGAATTTGGTCTCCTGAAGGCAGGGCTTTATGTCTGTATGGTTCACTGCTGTAGACAGAAACCACATATGCAGCACAACGTTGCACATAGTTGATGCTCAGTAAATATTTGTCAAATGCATGGACTGATGAATATGCAGGCAGATAAACAAACCTAAACTACACCTTTAATCATGCCCCTCTCCCCATCAAGAACCTTCCTTGGCTCCGCATTGCCCATAGAATAGACAGCAAACGCTTCTGTGGGCATTCCAAGTTTCTGAACTGGTCCCAAGTAGGATGCTCACTGCACCCCCAGAAGATAAACACATCACTGATCCTGGACCATCAGGAAGTGGATCAGTTAGCTGCCTGCCTCCCCCTCCTGGCTCTGAGCCACCTGAGAACAAGGTGTTGGTAGTCTTCATGTCTGTATCTCAGCAGTTAGCCCCAGGTCAGCACCATCAAGGGGACTGATGAATAAATATCAGATTAGTGAGTGAGTGGAAGCAGCCCTGCTCTGACACAAGAAGCCAGCAAATGAGAAGGCTGAGGAGGAGGAAGCTTCAGCCCAGAGAGCCGACCTTTTCAAATTTAGAATTTAGGAGTAATTTCACTGGTTCAGGTTCCTGGTCAGAGTTTCAAAAGTATGTAAAGCTGAGGCTTTGTGGTGCCAGGGAAACTTTGAAACTTACCAGAAATCAGGCGGGCAGTGTCTCGCAGGAGGGGACGGTGTATATGATAATGACCAACCCTTCCACTACAAAAGCTGTGCAGCGTCAGATTAGTAGCCACTCCCATGTGATTTCCCAAAACCACGAAGACCCCCAGCATGGGCGTGAAGGTTCTCGGGACTTCCAAAAGGACTTTGCACACCCCTCAGGCCCCCTCAAGCTCACCTCTCCTGTTTTGCAGGTGGGACAGGAGCAGAGCTGTGATGGAGGAGCAGCAGCTGTGTGATATGGGTAGGGCCCTCCCTTGAGTCATCATCTCTGGAGTATGGACTTGTCACCAGTGTCATATCCTATGTTTATGGCTCTTTAATTGGTCCCCATCTTTGGCTGGGCTCACTGGGAAGTCACTGAGCTGACTTTGCACACAGGAAGTTAACTGGAACGCACCCACGGACATCACCTCTGAGGGCATGAGGGTGGCAAGCTGGGGTGGAGGGAGATGCAGGCTGTGCTGCAGTCATCAGGGCAAGGGGACGGGGGCTGGAGGCTGCCATGTCAAGCAGGCACTGGATGTGGATGAAGGGGTCATGGTCTCAGGCTGAAGGTGAGCCCTAGAGGGACCCCACACCCCACCGGAGCTGGAGGACCAGTCTGGATCCCAAGAAGGGAGCTGGGGGATGCACAGAGTGTCCACGATGGTCCAGGTCCACTTCTCTTCGCCTTTACCACCCAGAACTAGCCCCCCACCTGTCACCTGGAGGCTGCCTTAGGCTCCTCACTGGTGTCTTAGCTTCCACTCTTGACCCTCCACCTGTAATGCCCCAAGTCCATCACCAGTGGGCTAAAGCCCGAGGGCTCCTCCAACACATAAATCAGATTACTTTGTTCCACTGCTTAAAACTGTCTAATGGCCCCCAATATACTCAGAAAAAAACCCAGCCCTTTATCAGGGTCACAAGGCCCTGCACAAGTAAGCCCAGCTCCCCCTGTGGCCTCTTCCCCTTCCTTCAAGGTGCACCTGCCCACAGCCATCTCTTTTCCTTGAGGCAGTGCTGTTCCACCTCAGGGCCTTTGCACTTGCTGTTCCCTCTGCCTAATGCTCCCCTGCTCAGATCTTCCCATGATTCCACACCCTTCAAGTCTCACCTGAAATATCCCCTCCTCGAAGGGGTCTTCCCCAACCACCCGACCTAAGAGATTCCTACATTCCAGTATTGCCCTCAGATATTACCTTTCTTTTAAACTTTGTACCATGTTAAACTGTCTTATTACTTTGTTTACTTCCTGTGTCTTCCCACTAGAATAAATTTGATGAGGGGAAGGAATCTTGTCTGCCTTTCTGCTTCTGTTACATGCAGCACCTAAACCATTGACTATAACATTTATTTTTGAATGGATTGATAAATATTTCCTGATTCTGTGATTGTTTCCTTATTCTTAATATTGCTTTTTTTCCTCCTTAATCAGATTTTCCAGGATTCATCTATTTTATGGTATTCTTTCTCAAAGAATCCTTGAAAAAATTTTTTTTATCATTTCTACTAATTTGTTTTTATTTCATTAATTGCGGAGCTGACCTTTCTCACTCCTACTCTTTTTAAAAATTCTATCTTCTATTTTTTAAAGTTAAACACTCCATTTGTTTTCAATTTTTTTTAATAATAAAAATTCTCAAAGCTGTAAATTTCCTCTGTGAGTAGCATTAGCTACATCATTTTTGGTTTGGAATGGTCATTATCTACTTTTTATTACTCTACAGTCTAGATAATTTGCCATTTCAATTTTGACCTTTTTCTGATTCAGGGGTTATTTAGAAGAGCAGCTCTGATTTTTCAGTAAGAATTTGGGGTCTCTTTTGAGGATTTATTCTTAATTATATTGGATTATAAAATAAGAATGTGACTTGGAATCTTGACTCTGCCCCTTACCAGCTCTGAGTAGGCCAAGTTACTTTGCCTCTCCGAGCCTATCTGCTTAGCTGTAAAGTGGGCACAACCGACAGTGGCTGAAGAGTTTCTATGTAAGAGGGGTCTGTGGCCATCAGGTCAAAAGCTAAACTAGAGGACTTGTCTTGAAGCTGCCACTGCTTAGCAAACATGCTGTCTTTACTTATGCTGTATGTTTATCTGGGGTAGCTTTGGGGGCATTAAAATTATGAGGAAGAGACAAAAGGCCCTTCCCTACAGCCCTGAGCCACCCTTTGATGCTACACTGAGCAGCAGGACAATACCCAGGCCTGACATAAATCTCCTGGTGCTTGACAGATGCAAATGCTCCCTCCTAACCTGGTGCCCATCATGCTCTGGGAGTTGGGGGAGCTGTTCCCTGAATGACTGTGATTGCTGAGTAATGGTTCATATTTACCATCACAGTGAATTAGTTGGGAAAACAAACAGTTAAGGATAATTTATGCCACCTGCGAGAATAATTCTGCTCATTGCTGGCAGAACACTTCCCTGGGAGGTTATGAACTGTGCACTCCTTGAGGAAGCACAGCCTGACATCCTCACCACCAAAGGCACCCTCTTCGCCACTTGGCCCTGCCCCTCAGGTCCCCACCACTGCTGGACAGGCTCAGATAGATGCTGTTTGAGTTACTTCTAGGCCAATGGTGGATGGCTTGGTGAAGAAGCCAAATGGGAAAGGGCTCCCTGCTCAGTGGAGAGGCTGGGGGGTAAGGAATCCCGAGCAGCAGGGGAGAAATCTGCTCTATAGGCGGATTCCACTTCTGCAACCAGAGCTCCATAGCTTGGGGAACACCATTTCTTTGGGACTCCATTTCCTAGCAGTCAAGTAAAGAGAAGTAAGATAAAATCAGGGGTGGTGCATATTTTTGTAAGAAGGACAATTTGAAAAGCCAGTAGGTCTGGGCAGGTCTCCTTCCCTCCCTCCTTCTTCCCTTTCTCTCTTTCAGTCAACAAATATGTTAACACCATCTATTTCCACACACAGCTCTGGATGGTGAGGAGCGCTGAGATTCTTGCCCTCAGGAAATTTACACTGATTAATAAACCAGCGAACAAATAAAGGAACAAGTTAGATTCATCTAGTGACGTGGCATGAAAAAAAATTACACAGGACTCGGACAGTCGGCTGCTTCAGATCAGATGTTCAGGGAATACATCTAACATCTGAAATCAGGAGTGCTCTCAGCAGAAAGAGAAACAAGGAAAAATCCTCTAAAGCTAATGTCCGGTGTTGGCTTTAAACACACTCCATACATAAGAAGTGCCTGGCTTAAATGCAAAATTTAACCTTTTGTACTTTAAGCTGAATTACTTAAGTAAGAGGCTGACAAAATTTTCTTGTAAGTAAAGGGCCAAAGAGTAAATATTTCAGACTTTGGGGGCCATATGTAGTCTATGTCACAGCTACTGAATTCTACCATCCTAATTTAGGTAACACCGTAACATCGAAGGAGCCACGGGCACTATGTAAGCAAAAGGTCATGGCTGTGTTCCATGGTTACACGGACAGGCAGCTGGCTGACCACAATTTGCCAACCCCTGAGTTAGGCTAACAATTAACAGAAATATGAATGGTGAAGGAGGATCACAGAACAAGGAAGGAGTCCAGGAACAATAAAACCAACATGTACTGGCTGGCTTATCAGCATGTAATACATAATGGCAATAACATGGTAGGAAATCGAGCCGCCCAGCAAGAGGTTAGACAATCTAGGCTCTGTCAATGCAAAGGAAAAGGAAGCGACAGTGAAGAGTGACAGATTACACAGAGACACGGAAAGGCAAGCTTGACGAGGACAGGACACACCCCAGGAAGGACATGCTGATTCAGTATGAAACTGCACGATCCTGGCACATCGCTAGAGAGAGCTGACTCAAGATTTAAGGCAATGGGGGACATCACGTGTTTGTGCCTGTCATTCTGCCTAAACAGATGGTCAAAAACAGTATAGAGGCAAACAGTTTTTTTTTTTCAATTTAAAAATGAATTCAACAAATACAATAAGGGCCTACTGTGTTAAGGGCTACCAAGAATTAAGATGGGAATAATGACACTTGCTACTGGATGGGGTTCAGAAGTAGATTTTACCCTTAGTTTAAGTTGTGGTATGGTGCACATACATAAAAGTTATCATCTTAACCATTTCTATGTGTACAGTTCAGTAGTTCAGTATTGTTAAGTACATTCACATTGTGGTGCAACCCATCTCCAGAACTTTTTTCATCTCGCAAAAATAAAATCCTGTTATCACCACCACTCTATTTCCCTTTCACTTACTGGTCTTTCTCATGTTGGCCTATGTACATATGTGCACACGGATTTATGTGGAGCTATGTTTGCTGTGGCTCATATCACATGATGGTAGAAAATGAGTCAACTTCCATGTCCATCAGGAGGGGACTAGCTAAATAAATGACCTCTGTCCAAACAATGGGTTATTACATGCAGCCATTCAAAGGAGTAAGAAGGGTTCACTCAACAAATACCTACTGAGCACCTACTACACGCCAGCACCAGTTATTGGCACAGAGGACAGAGCAGAGAACAAAACAGTCTGCCTTCCTGGGGGACTGCATTTTAGTGGGGTTGACAGTCAATGAACAAAGAACCAATGAGAATACAGAATTGAGAGTAAGAAATCTTTGGAGCAAAATAGAGGCATTTTAGACAGGGTGCTCATGTGACGCCTCTCTGAGGAGGGGACATTGGGCTTTATCTGAGCAAGCTCTTCACTCACAGAAAAGAGGTCTCCAAGAAACATTAAGATTAAAAACTGAACATAATTGCAGGACAATTTGTGTTTTCTTAAAGAGCATACATGTCTATCTTCCTATACACACACGTAGGCATATAGGTATAGACGCAGTTACTTCAAACTGCTGACATTAAAGGGAAACTTAAAATTTACTTATGAATTACTTTTATAATAAAAGTATTTGTAAACTGGGCCTGTGAACAAAAGCCCTTAAGAGCACTATGCAAAAAAGAAAAAAAAAAAGTTGGCTCAGAAGTAGCCAAGGGTTTAGAGCATTTACCTTGGGGGAAAAACCACCTGGTGGCTGTGTGGGGACGGACATTGAACCTCAGGTGAGCAGCGGCTTTGGTGAGTCTGTTCCCCTGGCTCCAGGGCAGCGGTTCCCTATCAGGATATTTTCCTCTCCCCAGGGTCATTCGGCAATGTCTGGTGACATCTTGGGCTGTCACAACTCAGGAAAAGGGACTATTGCTACTGGCACTTAGAGGGCAGAGGCTGAGGCTGCAGCTAAATATCCCAGAGTGCAGAGAGCAGCAACCCTCTCCCGAGTCCCATACAAAGAACAATTGGTCCCCAAATGTCAGGAGAAGAGGTTGAGAAACCCTGCTTTCAGCCCAGCACAGCCCCGGGCACAGAACAAGTGCTCAGTAAATTGAACTACTCTTTTTATGACTGGACTTACCCCAAATTAAAAAATTTTTGAGTGGAGAGGAAGTGGTAGTATCAGGAATCAATTCTGTCAAATTCCAATTCCAGTGACTCACTGAAAGGGATTCTTGATGTTTTTTTTAATGGTCACACTGGTCTTCCTAGGTATCTGTGTCTCTGAATTAGTGATGGCTTATGAAGGGCTCCTGATTCCTCCTGGCTTTTGTGTTTTAGTCTCACGCCCTGACACTAAGTGCAGGAACATTCCTGCTGGGTCATTCCTTGTCTCTTGTATATTCAACTCTCTTTCTCCGGTGGACATATCCCATTGTCCGCTCAGGTCTCTCTAGGTGGATAACCAAGATCAAAGCCCCCCGGAGCCTCACACACTTCCTCCGGCTGCCAGGCTTCTTTCCAGCCCTTCACACCATGCTCCCGGGCCACACCGTGGCTGCCCTGCTGCCTCTGTCCCGGCCCAGCCCCCAGTTCAGCTCCTGCCCGGCCTGTGTTCTCCCCACTGCTGATGTGCTCTCATTCATCTCCATCACTTCCTGGCCGCACTCAGCGAGGCTTTCCACTCCCTCAACTTCTCTTCCCTTGACTTTCCTGTGCCACCTGCCCTGCTTTTCTCCTCGGCTCTGCTCTGCCTGCTGGCCGATCCTCTTCTCAGCTGCTACTAGGTGATTTTGGCTCAACCGGAACGCACTCCCCTTTACCCATGTTCCTACTCTACTCAGTCCCCCAGTCTCATCCACGCCTAGATCTGCACTTTCTCCTGCACCAGACTCACAGCGCCTCGGTGGTCCCTGCCAACCAGAAACCACTCACCCATCTATTCACTGCTTCTGCCTGGTTGTTTCAAAACCTGCTGAATTCAGCACACTCAACACTGATCTCCTGATCTTCCCCGTGAAACCCGTCAGATCCCAGTGCCCTCGTCTCAGGAAACGGCCTTGCTGGGCATGCAAGTGGGGAAGCCAGCTCTGAGGACTCCTCAGCACCTGGTCCGGTGAGCATTTCCTCAGCAGCCCTGTGCCGCCCCTTCACTGCACTCACTCAACTGATTCTCGTCCTTCTCCTTTGCCTCTACCATCCCCCACTCTCCCTGTAGCTGAGGCCATCTATTAGAATGACTGTCAGATTGCATCGGCCACAGCCCTGATGGGAACTCGAACCCATTGCTCTTGGGATAAAACCCAAACTCCTTACCTTGGTCCACGAGGCCCTGCACTGCAAGGATTGGCCCTGTCATCTCCCAGCGTAACAGTGCTGGGTGTCCCTCTGCCCTCGCTGCGCTGGCTGGCTCCCTGCTCCTGCAGCTCACAGAGTGCCGGCTTGCCTCCCCTCGGTTCACCCACCGCCCCCCACGCTCACCTTCCCCACAGGCCTCTTGGATGCAGAGTCTCCCTCACAGCCCTCATTGTGCCTGTGATTGTAATCATACCCTCCCACCTGGAGGTATGGGAGGTGGTGGGAAGGGCAGTAAGTTCTAAGAGACCACTGACCCTGTCTTCTTTAGCTCATCATTATATCCCCAGCACCTGGGCACACCTCCTTACACTCAGTAAATTTAGTGACTGGTCAACACTCAACAACTGAGAAGGGACCATCACAATCTCAGAGCAGAATCAGGCAGATGGCACACTCAGTTCTGGCCCCAGAGGACTTTCTGATCCAAACTGCATCCCCCCCACCCCCCCATTGCCCAGGTGGCTTATGCAACCTGACGGACTTCCCCAGGGCCGGTTCTTGAAAGAATTCCCAAGAGTGGGAGGATACCTGGAGAGCACAGAGGGTTCCATGCTGAGCTTTTTGCTCCCCTGGTCTGGCTGCAGGGGTCAGGCGGGCAGTGGGCAGTGGCTCCCGGGAGCACCAGAGGCTGGCGGAGCAAAGCGGGAGCTACCTGAAGCAACACACCAGAGACAAACTCCCAAGAGAAAGGAAAGGAAAAGCCCCAAGGAGCCAAACTGCCCTACAGAGACAGACACGACCACCAAGGTTTGGTTCTTGGGATATGTATTTTTTACTGAAAAAATCATTCATAAATTAACATACAAAAATGTACAAACACATGAGTAAATAATGTAATGACAAAGGACTATTTTTGTGAAAAGTGTTTTTTAAAACATCTTTAGATTTCAGTGCAAAAATGTACCCCTGACACCTCTTAAAACATAAGAGCAAGCTCAAAAACAAAAACAAAAACGTAGTGATGGAAATAAGCTAGCTACGTTCAATGCCATCGTCACCGGTGAGTGGATACAATCAGTACAGGTGAATGTTGTACAGCTATTAATGTCTGTGGTAGAGGAGCTCTAATGTAAGAGTCCCTTAATGTCAAAATGATTTTGCAAATAATGACCCCTCCCTAACCCCCAAAATAGAACAGTGTGGAAGGAGAAACCTTTCCCTGCCACAGCCATCACAGGCAAGGCCACTTAAGGAGTCACCCATCAGCAGCCTGAAAGAATGTCAGCGGCCAAAATTAGCACAAGATCATATTTGGATCTTATTGTTCTTTTTTTCTTAACATGAGAATTTCACACCATTAACAGCACTTGGGCCTGGCGGTATGTTTTAAACTTCTGTTTCCCATACAATACTCAACTTGGTGGCTAACTGACTACTAACAGTGCAAAGAGGTTTTACACTAATAAAACCAAAAGTACATGTGATTATAAAATAGTGGCCTTACTTGAGCAGTGAAAAAAACCTTTTCCTTTTGTCATCAAATTAGCATTTGTTTTTAAATCAGGTGTCAGCCTTTTGTCAACATTTTGTTCTTGGTGGTAAATATGTTATGAAAAAGCTGCAAACAAGATTATTTTACAACACTGCCATGTATGCACAGATCTTTTTTTTTTTTTTTTTTTTTTTACTTCTCAAAATGCACAGATCATCTTTAACCAAGAATCAGTCTTTTCGGCAAATTCTTCCAAATGACATCAAAGTTCTGTCATACCGAAAGCAGCTCACAGCCTTCAGTGACAGAGGCCAAGGCCGGCTAGAGGCCTGAGGGTGTGGGGGGAGGCAAGGAGAAAGAAATCTTAACTGCTGTAGGCACCATAATTCAAAGGAAAATCAAACGAATTTCTGTGTGTAATGTTCCCTCATAAAGATCTTTCAAAGCATGAAATGCTCAAAATTCTTTTAAAACATATGATACAACTTACCAGCATTTTCAAGGGCAGGAGCCTGCTCTCTCATACAAGCTGATAAGAGCTCTGCGATGCAGTTTATTTTCTACATACCACTGTATTCTTTAAAAGAACGAAAACATGAACAATAAACAAGGCCTGGCCAATCACTCCCACAGCCTGTGGGGATCATATGTCCACGAAACCAACATATGCAATGGAAAAGACCCCAACCCACACATATATATACAAATATACCCCCTACACATACATCGTCCATGTAAACCATGAAAATTAAGGAAGTTGAGGCAAAGAAGGCAATTAAAAAAAATACGAAGTACTCTTTACAAAGTACTCTTCATCACAATATATAAATATGTCTTATGGAAAAGGAGGGGAAAAAACTGGCATTTCCGAATTCAGAATACAACAGGGACTATGACTTGAGGGATTTGGCTCATGGAAAACAGAGGCACAAACTCAAATGCAATCTAGACTGTGACTTCGAAAAGAACAGGAGTGTGAACAGAGCACTTGGGCTCTCCCATCCTGAAGCTGTTAGTCTGATTTCAAAGCTCTGATTTGCTCTAACCTGGATTCCAGCTGACCCACAGCACATCGGTATCTCCTGCTCCCTGACCGAATCCTTCATTAATTCAATTGCTCATTAGTTCTATGTACTAGCTAATAGCTAATATCAACAAAAAAACTTTTCCAGAAACCAAAAAGGGAAATATTCAGAGGCATCACTGAAGACTGTTGGTAATTTAGGCACAGAGTTCAGAAATTGGGCCACGTTTCAGAAGAGAAAGAGAGAAGGATGAAAGCAGAGGCCCAAACCCCTTCCCTTCTAAATGATGAAGAGAGAGTGTGTGTGTGTGTGTGTGTGTGAGTGTGTGTGTGTGTGTGTGTGTGTGCGTGTGCGCGCGCATGCACAGTGAGACCCTGAATCTGCTTTGAGCAGGGAGAGCGGCCTGCTCTGAAACAGCAGACTCCTGTTTAGCAAGAGACTGGGTTCAGTCTCCGTGCCCACCAGGAAAGAGGGAATCCAGAGCAAAAGTCAAAAGCAAGACTTTTGGAAGAGAGGGATGGGAGGGGGCAGAAGAGATTAGCTTCCAGTGATAAAGATGGGCCTGTTTTGTTCTTTTTGTGACATGCCTTATATCCACTCTCTTCCAAAGTGACAGCAATTTAGGAGATGATATTCTTCCACTGCATTTTAACCGAGTTCCCACATTTGCCAACCAAATAGTGATCTAATGTATAAATCCTCAGTTTGAATTAGAGCCAGCTATAAAATTAAATTTAAAAAAGGCATTTTACACGGCTTATTTACAGTTATACTTCTTCAAGAAGTGATTGTTATATGTCTATTTATCTTCCCAACCCCTCCCTGCCACCCTCAACCCCCACCCAAAGCAGGTAAATTTTATTTAAAAAATGAAACCAAAGAGAACACCAGAGATGGAGAAGAATGGTGTGCGGAGTTTCATTTACTCCTCCTGAAACGCAGCTGCCCTGTGGTGGGTTCGCCTCTTGGCCTTCGAGGCCCAAGGGCTCCAAAGGCCATTCACAGGGCAGGCTCCGAGGCGGGACCGTGGCAGACCACAATTCTGGTTCTGCAGATTGTGGCTAAGATGGGACGCGGGGGAGGAGACGGGGAGCCGAGCAGCAGGACAGGCGTCTGTCTTGTGAAGAGACGAGGGAAGTTGCCAGCTTTCTCCCTCAGTCCCAGGGGGTCCACCCGGTGGAGGCGTTTTGTGCGTCTGCTCTGTTCACAGTTTTTCCTCGAGCCATGTGACCCTTCATTAGGTGCTGTATTTCTGTTCTCTTCCCGTGTGGAGTGCCGAGACCTCTCATCAGGCTGCTTTCCTGGTGGTGGTGGGTACAGCGAACGCCGTGTTTTCTCCTCAGCTCAGTACTCGGTCACCTGAGCCAGCTCGGGTGTCAAGTTGACAGTAATGTTTTTATACAAGGCGTCGTATGTGATGTTTGCAAAGTAGTTCAAGTTGTTGAGGCCATCCAGCCCTTGCCGTTCTTTGGACTTCCTCAGCAGAGCATACCTGCGTAAGCAGAGAACAGAGGGGTGGCTCTGAGCGAGGGCCCATCTTTCTCGTGACACAGGTTGAAGCAGGGTGACAGCACGTGGGGGCAGATCCCAAGGTGGACTTCTGTGCCACAGGCAGTGACTGGATGCTGAGCTTCTCCATGCTAAATGCAATTACTAGAGACACCCCCTACTTCATAAGCATTTGCCTTATTTTTCACAGTATTTCATTTAATGCACCTGTCCTTAGCCAAGTGAGGAAACCAAGGCTCACAGTGGTAAGTGACTCGCCCAAAGTCATGGGGTAGGGAAATGGGAGGTCAGATATTAAAAATATGTCAGTTGAGGAAGGTCAGAGCCTGTATTCAGTGCCCTCTTACTCCCATGAAAACACAGTTCATGCAGTCAGGATTGCTTGTCTAGAGAACAGTCCTCCTCAGTTAACAAAAGAGAAAAAGAGCCACTCCTGAGAACACAGAGATGTCAGCCCATCACATGCCCCACTTAGTCCCATCTGCAATTTCCTTAGTGAAAGTGAAGAGGTAACAAAGCAACAGCAACCACACAGTGAGAAGCTGGGACACCCTTCCGGAACCAGAGTTCCCGGAAAGGGTGCCAACTCTACCATGTCACGTCAGTGTAAGTTATACAGGGACCTTTTACCCCAGCGGATTTTTCTCCAACTCCCTGAAGGCTAGAGAGGAGACTACACAGCTTCAGATGCAAAATGGGTGATTTCCTTAAAAGATCTTACTATCAAAGTTCACCAATGGTCTGACTTCACCCCCAAGTGTCTACCTTGTATTTAAATACCCAGAGGACTATGCAACAGCTGTCCAAACAGGACCTGGGAGAGGAGGTGGGATAAGACGAGGGGTTATAATATGCTTTGGGACATCTGGAAACACAAAGTATAGAGGATGTTTGTAAGAGTAATAAATACACTGCACCAACCTTCCCAGAAACTGGACTTCTCCTCGATGGTGATGAGGAATGGACTTGTACTTCCCTGTGTCACCTTCCGGCCGGCTCACGGAATAGCCTGCATTCTGTACTCTGTCCAAGACAAAGAGAACAGGCTTTGAGATAAAATGATCATGTCCTGTAAGTGATCAAACCCACGCCGAAGCTGAAAAACCCCAAGTTAATGACAGAACCTCTTCTACATCTAAATATTCAAATTGCTACCCTCTGGATAAGTTCATGGTTTTAGTAAAGTCTACAACACAAAAAGAGTTTTGAAAAAGAGGAAATTCTAAATTCTTAAAGAAACTCAAAACCAATATAATATTGTATATAAATTGTATTTCAATAAAAAAAAAGAAATTCAAAATTCTTGAGTGTAGGGTTTGACTCAGGTTCTGTGCCAGGCACAAGAGCGTGTGTCCCCGGCAGGCAAGGGCACGAGCCACCTCTCTCAGCTGGGAGGCTTGGGTCCTGTCACAAGTATCTTCTCGCTGGTGGACAGCACCTTTCGCTTCCATGACATGCTATAAAGTGAGCCAGCCAAGTCAGAGTTGCAATGTATTTTCCCTACTTAGGGAGAACTTATGTCTCTGCCCACCTTCCCCATCACCAAGGAAAGGAACTCATTTACCTGATCTAGATGTAAAACTCCACCATTTATGAAAGGTCAACTCTAAGGGAAGGTGTTCAGGATATTTATCCTTAATATGATAAAGATAAGATTTCCCAAGCTGGGTTTACCAGAAAATTGATAAGGCTCCAAGAAATAATTAATACATGGAGGAAGAATGTGGATTTTTATGGGAAATTTATGGCATTTTCATATTTTTAAAATGTGGGAAAATATTATTCAGCATCCACCTGTTGACTTCAAATTATACTCCTATTTTATGGGATGTATGAAGATGTGTTCTCACACTCATTTGATAAATATATATGGAATGCCCACTGTGTGCTTGGAATCATACTGGGTGCTGGGGAAAGCCACCATATTCCTGCACTGGAGGAGTCCCTGCTGAGCTGGGGAGAGAGCCAGGTGAGAATTATGACAGATCCTGGGAGAGCTCAAATGGATTAAAAGACCAATCAAATGAGCCAAGCCGTTCATCTTTACTGGGTTAAGAGGTCCATAATTAAAAGGATGAGATGCCACTTTTTACCTCTTGGACTGAGAAAGAACTGTCTGGAGCTGCTATGCTCAACACAGTAGCCACAAGCCACATGTGGCTCCTTAAGGGCTGAAACGTGGCAAGAATTTGAAAGGTTTAAAATCCGATGTTGGCAGTGGTGTAAGAAAATGGGCATGCTGGTGGTGGTGAATGGTTGGACAGAATCTTTTTGGAGGAAAATGTGATAATTACGATCAAAATTTATAGGTACATTTACTTCTTGACTCTGCAATTCCACAACTAGGAATATTATCTCAAGAAGTATTTGCACATATGACCAAACAATGTCAAAACGCAAACTGCAATGTTCACCAAGAGGAAAGGATTAAAATAAATTCCTGTTCATCAAAATGAAGGAATACCACAGCTGTTAAAAATAGTGAAGTGGTTCTCCCTATGAACATGGTGGGATGGGGAGAAGGGAAGTGTTTGGGTTGTTTTTATATGAATGGATAGAAGAATAGAAAGAAAGAGCTTGTTAAAATGACTACTTGCTGGGAATGAAATAAGATACCAGTAGGGATTGAGATTTATATTCTGGTTTATGCACTTTTATATCATTTGAATTTTTACCAGGAAATATTACTTTGTAATTTACAACCAACATGTACATTCTTTTTTAAAGATGATCTAGAATATAAACAGATACAAGGTGGAATTTCTTCTGCTTATTTGTCCCTTACTAGGTTTCTACTTAATTACACTTACTTACTCTGTAAAAATATTTGTCTGTATTACTCACACACAGGATTGTTCATAAAAACCTGTAAAATACAAACCTTATCTGGTAGTATGGATAAATCTGTGTATACCTATCACTAATATTTGACCTCTGGTTTGGGGAGGTTTTAGTGAAACGTGCCTATGAGTCTAAAACACACACCAGACTTCAAAGATTCAGTGAGAAAAAATGAATGTGAAATATCTCATTAACATTTTATATTGATTACATGTTTAAGTGACATTATCTTGGATATGTTGATAAATATATTATCAACATATTTTATTAATGTTAGCATTAATTTCACCCTTCTTAAACTTTTTCAATGTGGCTACTAGAACAGTTAAATTACATACATGGTTTGTATCATATTTCTACTGGGTAACGCTGGTCTGGAGTCTCAAGTAGGATTTTTAGAAGACACCAGAAGATAAGGCAGTACCTGTTCCACAGGTCGTCATCTTCTCCACCCCAACCCCAGAAAGCATTGGGAAAGCCATTAATTTTCTGAAACTGTTCCACTGTTAAGCCGCTCACTCCACCGAAGAACTCGGTATAAGGAAGCCTAAGAAAAGATGTATAGATCAATCATCTGTGCACTAAAGGGTGATTTTTTTCCCCCAGAACAGACCATCCAACTGGAGAGTGAAGTCGTAAGTAAAACAATACTCTCTGTGCTATTGCCCTGAACCACCTGAACTGGTTTCCTAGTGCTGAGATGCATCAACCGGAGTAGTTAATTGATTTTTTCATAACAACTTATGAGACATAATGGACATACCATGGAACTCACCCATTTAAAGTATATAACCCAATGGGTTTTTTATTGACAAGTTGTGCAACCATGACTACAATCAACTTCAATACATTTCACCACCCGAAAAAGAAACCTTGTATCCATTAGCTGTCATTCCTCCTTTACCCCTATTCCCCTCAAACCTGTGTAACCATGATTCCCTTTTCTTCCCTAAAGATTTGCCTATTCTGGACATTTCAGATATGGAATCATACAATATGTGGTCTTTTGTAATCCGTTTCTTTCACATTTATCATGTTTCCATGGTTCACCCGTGTTGTCACATGTATCGGTATGTCATTCCTTTCTATTGATAAGCTGAATTCCCTTGTTATGGATGTACCACCCTTGCTCATTAGCTAGTGGACCTTTGTGTTGGAGCTAATTGGGTTTTGCCATCTTTCCATCTCTCACCAGTCTTTTAGATTCAAACTCTTTAATTAAGAGGAAATGATACTTACAGATACATATACTTGTCCAATTTAGTCGCAAAGTGCCTTGGCATCTGTCCACACCCATAGTAGTTACGATCATTTTCTGGTATATGATCCACGTCATGAAAAATAAGACAGTCCCAGTCCAAGTCCTTCATTGCTTCTTGAAAACCGACGTTGAAAAGCATGGCTCGATTAAAGGGTTGGGTGCCAACCTACAAGAGGCAGAACTTTATAAAAGGACTCAAAGCAAAATCTTGGCTGCCTCAGCCTGTCTAAGGGAGAGCATATAGAGACCCAGCCGGAGAGATCCCTGCGCCAGAAGCTGAGCAGCTCAGCACCACTCATCAGGACTCACATGTAACTTGCCTCTGACCCCCAGTTCCTTAGAAATGAAAGGGATGCTGATCATAAATCCACACTCCTCTCCTGAGACTGTTGGTAAGGGCAGACATTCAACCACGTAACAGCATTTGGAAGAGGACCCAGCTCCATAAAGGGGAGCGAGAACAAAACTGCTACTCTTACTTGTGGTTCCTTAACTTTCCTGGGTCTGGAGCCTGAAAACACCACCCAGAGCAGCACTAGCAAAACTACCAAATAAGAGGCCTTTGTTCAAGGGTAAAACCTTCTCACCTATGAATGAATGACTCAGTCTTTAAGATTTCAGTTTCATTGGCTCTTTGCACCAAAGACAGATTAGCTTGAAGCATTCTAAATTGATGTGTCAGGAGAGAAAGAATAGAAAAGAAAGAACACTCACTTGTTCAACCACATAAAATGCAAACCACAGGCGCTGGCGTTGAAGCATGGGAATCAGGTGTCTGAGCAGGACTGGGAGGTGCTCATGGCGGTTCCGGAAGGGGATAAGGATTGCCACCTGGAGTGGGTCACAGCAAAAGGAAGTTGCCCTTTAGTCCCCCTCAACTTCTGCTTTGTAGGACACTCTGCAGAATCAGTGACCAACTCTCAGGGAGTTTGGGGAGGCTGCCTTGTCCCCAGCCTCCTCTGAATGAAAACTCACGTTGGCCAGTTAACCCTCTTGGGAGTAAGTGGACCTTGTTCTTACACTTGCCATAATGTGTACAGAGTTGGCCTGTTGAATGAATGAAATTCTGGACCACATCCTGGAGGAAGTCATATATTCTACACAGTGACCCAGTACACAAATCTATCCAGATATATAAACATGCAACTGAAATATACTTCACAAAGTTACTTTTCCTTACAATGTGTGATGCACTTTATATATATGTGCTTGTATACACACTTAAAAAAAAATGCTGGTCATTAAATTGATTTACACCCCTAGTTATGGGTTTTAAACACTGTTCTGTCCCAGACCTGCATCAGTTACTGCACCACAGTAGCTCACAGGGTGGGCACAGAGTAAATGCTTTAAAGCTTGTTGGAGAACGGCCTTAAGCTGGTGTCATAACTTTGATCCTCACTACTGATGTCTCCTGACTATAGCTGTGCAGGGAAACACCAAGCACTTGCCAGTGTCAGTCTAGTTTAAGTCCATTTTTTATTCTAATAAAACTCAACAGTAATGCTAAATAAGGCATGAAGCACTGAATTTGTGAAGATGGCTTCTGCAAAAGTGTCCCAAGAGACCTACCAACCCTCCCCCTTGCTTAGCTAACAGTCTTGTAAAGGAGACAAAAGGGTCCTGGCTTGGTCATCAGAACAATGCAAATTCTACAGCTACAGAAAAGTCCTCAGGGAAACCTATTCCTCCAAAATGCTTCCATAAACTGCAAACACTTGGTTCAGGTGGTAGGGCACAGAATTATGAAATGTCATAGTCAGCAAATCCCGTGGTTATTTGGAACACTGGCATGTCCAGTGGGGTCTGACTTCACATCCTACCTTCCATCGAGGCATGCAATCCGAAGGCTTCCAGTGACCTCCGAGCTTGATGGCTGGGTCTTTGGAGAAGAGTTCATGAATGTCATCCATTCCAATTTCACTCATGTTTATGTCTATTGGGCCCTCTGAACAGACAGGGGGGAGGGAGAATTAAGAGGCCAGAAAACAAAAGATTCTTTCTCCCTATGTTCAGGGTTTGATTCTCTGGAAAAGTTCGATGCCTTTTTCAGCTGATTTTGCTTTTAACAGCAATGGGAGACCCTTCTCTGCTTCACTCACTGCATTTCAATTGCTCACTCTTCCTGGGAGAAGCAGCAAATTAAGAAATGAAGACTTGCGAGTTCTGCTTCTGCCAAGGGCATAGAAAGAAATCAAGACTAAGTAAAGCAGCAGCTGAACTCAAAGACAAAGGAGAAATGACTGAGCTTGGAGCCAACCCTGCGTGCTCCTGGGACAAGTACAGACACACTGTCCCACTCCATTTTTCAGTGACCCTGACTGGTGACATCCAAACTCAACACTCATCATCTCTGACTTAAGTCAAGAAGCAGAACTGCCCGAGAAGTCTGAAAGGGCAGGAAAAGGCTAACACTTCGTTGTCGAATCTTTAGATTACACATGAGATTCCAAGAGAAAAGAGAGAGAGAAAAGATCGATTCAAGAATTTTTTGAACTGGGACTTTAAGAAAGTAACTTCTCTCGTATCGAAGAAGTTACAATCAGTGTGACATTTATAATAGAAGCCCAGGCTGGCTGCTTGTACTTTCTCTAGGATATCTTAACAGACCTCTAGTTACAAAGGAGGTGGCACATGCAAAGAGTGAAAACTGGCAAAAATAGCACCAAGAACATAGGCAACCTTGCAGAAGGGCTGAAGAGGCATCAGGACACAAGTAACTTCCATAATTCCTGTTTCCAATGGCAGGGAAGCATTTGTATTCTCTATATAGGTAGGCATACTGGAGGTCAAGAACACGCCCCCTTATATTTTAATCAAATAAAAATACACATCAGTTTTAAAGGCAGAGGAAGATAAGCGAGAGCTCTACTCACTCATGGAAGGGAGCCTTTCAGGGCAAGTATGATTTGCAAAGTAGGTGAAATCTTCAGGAAGAAAAGTTGTGGTTTGAAGGAAGGTTTCGCTGTGGTTCAAGTCAAGAGGATAATCTAGAAACGTAAGAAAAAAAGACTGGACCTGTAATCAATTAGACAATTCTTAGTTGCATACCAAAGGAACATTTTTCTTTGATATCATCTTTTGTTGAATCAGGACTCTGGACTAGCTCTTCACTGCAGTTAAAAATTTGAACCCATAAAAAAAAATGTTAACCAGATACCATTTTACTGGGTGTTTCTGTTCTCATTGTGATTGCAGCTTTTTATGTACTCAGCTGACAGTCAACCAAGTCTACAACATAATTTTATAAACAGCACTCCCTCTTCCATGTCTTACTCTCTTAAGGAACTATTTTCACTTCTTTTAGCCACCTATGCATTGGCCTACACAGTCAATCCTGATGTTGCCGTTTCAGGTCTTGTCTGTTGAGGTTCCACTATGGGGGATGGAGACCGTGCTCCTTTCTCCCCTGCTCACACCACACACATACCTGTCCTGTCCTCCACCTCCCTGCAGCGGGTGGGACCATCACATCATCTTCAGTGTTACTATGACCATTCTTTAAATACTATTTAGAGCCGAGAAATGTATGATCACTCTTCCTCTCCTCCTCAGTTACTGTTTTGTTTTCTGTTTGCTCAGTTTCATGTGGCATCATGACTAACCCAACACTAGGCCTTTCCAGCTGTATTTCCTCTTTCGACTCTCACAGGCTCAGGTGTTCTCTCTGTATCATCTCCCCAAAGGGGGTGCAGCACATCTGACCCACTGCACCTGGACTGGCTGTCCTCTGTGCCTAATGTGCAGCTATTGTCCTCGGACCTCCCCTCCTCAGTGGCAGTGACCTCGAGATCCCCTGCATCTCTCTACAGTGGGTTTTTTTAAAATTAGAGTTTGGTATTCACTTGAACTCACTGAAAGAAGCAAGTGCTGGACAGTCTCTTTTATTATTATATTTTGTTGAAATGCAGTTGATATACCGCATTATATTGGTTTCAAGTATACAACAGTGATTCAACAGTTAAGTACACCAACTAATGTAGTTACTATCTGTCAACGTGGAGTGATGTTCTAGAATTATGGACTATATATATTCTCTATATGTTCATCCCCATGACTAATTTATATTATGGTTTAGATTTTGTGCCTCTTTATCCCCTTTACCTGTTTACCCACTCACTCCAACTCCTAACTCCATGGTAACCATTAGTTTCTTCTTAGTGCATGAGTCTATTTCTGTTTTTTTGGTGTTGAGGTGTATGAGTTATGTATTTTGGATATTAGCCCTTTACAGATATATCATTGCAAATATATTCTCCCATACAGTAGGCTGCCTTTTTGTTTCATTGATGGATTCTCCCGCTGTACAGAAGTTTTTCAGCTTTTGTTTCCCTTGCCCAGGAAGATGTATCCAGAAAAAATTACTCGTTGATATTCAAGAGATTTCTGCCTATGTTTTCTTCTGTAAGTTTTATGGTTTTGTGTCTTATATTTAGGTCTTTAGTCCATTTAGAGTTTACTTTTGTGTATAGTGTAAGACAGTGATTCAGTTTCATTCTCTTCCATATAGCTATCCTGTTTTCCCAACACCATTTAATGAAGAGACTGTATTTTCCGCAATGTACATTCTTGCCTCCTTTGTCACATATCAATTGACTATATATGCATGGATTTATTTATGGACTCTATGTTCTGTTCCATTGATCTACATGTGTTTATTCTTTGTCAGTACCATACTGTTTTTATCAGAGTAGCTTTGTAGTATAGCTTGAAATCTCCACAGTATCAAATCTCATTTTTCCCAAGTTCAACCTCTCCCTTTTTCTTGCTAAACACATCTTCCACGTGGCTTCCTAAGAAGAGGGAATGAGAAGTGACTCTGAAACCATGAATATATGTTTTTATTCTTCTTCAGTGGATTCACAGACTGGCTGGGTTTACAGAATTCTAGGCTAGCAATAATTTTTCACTATAATTACATGTAAGTGCCATCCCATTTGCCTTCAGATTTCACAGTGCCTGTAAGTCCAAAGCCATTCCAATTCCTGACCTTTGTAAAAGATGACCACTAATTTCTTTTTCTTGCAAGTGTAAAGAACTTTCTTTTGGTTCAAGAAATTTCATACCAGTGTGCTGGCTAGGGATATACTGGTTTTCTCTGCTGCCATATTAGCAGTCATTTGGCAGGCCTTCAAAGTCTAGAAATTCATGTCTCCCTGTTCTAGAATTTGGGGCAGGGAGAAAATATTACTGTGGTGATCAGTTCCTCCCTTCTGTATTCTGCGCTCTCTTTCTGGAGAAGAGAAACGATGACTTAGATGTTGGACCTCCTGGTCTTCTAATTTTCTCATTTTTTTTCATCCTACTTTCCATTTTGCCATTTTTCTGTTCTACCTCCTAAGAAATTTTACCCAGCCTCCCTTTATTATCATTCCTGCTGTTTTGTGTTTGCAATCCCTCTCCTCTTGCCCTTGGTAAGTATGCAGTGGCTACTCTACGTCGTCTTCTCCCAGCAGGTCTGTGTCTTCCAGTTCGCTGCTGCTGGTTTGTTTTGAGCTCTAGCACAGTGACTCTTGGTCATCTGCTAGTATTTTAGAGTGGGCACTAATCAGCTAACTGGATGGGTTCGGACTGGGGCTCTTCACCGTAGGGTGTTCTGCCTGGAAATCTGGTTTGGAAACCTCTTGCGTCAACATCTAGGGTCTTTCCTCTTATTTTGGTCAGATTCCCCAGGAAGTCTCCTAGTCTCCTGCCAGAATGGTGCAGTCCTGGAACTGGGGAAGAGAAAAAGCCTGGGGGCACCCTGAGCTAAGCCAGGTGTCCCCCAGTTGAAGGACCCTCAGTTTTACCATATCTAGAGGTTATCAAGTCTGCAAGTCCCTTGGCAAGATGGGGAAAGGGACCCTCCTTCGGAAATAGCTTCCAACCATTACCTCAGTTACCACCTTTATTCTTATCTCCAAAAGAATCTGATATTGCTAATTCCTAATCCTGGAGGATTCTGGGATATAAAATGGAGTGGTTGCTGGCTTTCTCTGCTGCCAAATTAACAGTCAGTTTTCTTGAATCTGTTAAATCCTTTATCACTGTTCCACCTGTTTTTTCACTTCCAAGATATTTTTGCTGTGGTCTCCTTTTCCTATCCTCATTCTTAAGGGTTTAGGCTATCAGATGCGCATGCACGTGTACGCACACACACATACCCTTCTTTGCCGTCTTTCTAAGGGAGGTTTAAAAGTGTGATGCAGATGCTCTTTTCCTAGAAGATGGAAGGGTGCCCAACTTCTTTTTTTTACAGATAAAGAAACTGAGGCACCATATACACAATTCATACAAGGAAACTTGGCTAATGCGTGACAGAAATCCAACTAAACTCTGGGTTAGTGATTTTTCCATTACACTGTACTATTTCTTCAGAGTATTAACATCGCTCTCAAAAACCCATCTGGAGTCATGCTGATTCTATGAAAAGTAAAACATCCCATTCAAATTTACTTCGCACCCTGGAATTCTAGAATCTTCAACTCATGTCTTTTTTAAAGCACTATGAGAGGTCTTCCAAGAATCAAGTGGCTATTACAGTGTATCCTTTGATACAGGCACATGGCTGCCTACTCTACAATACTCAAAGGACAAAACTCACGGAGAGGCAACTTGAAGAGAATTTTAAGTCTTTCAACAGGGGAAGAAAGAAACAGAGTGCTTTCTGTCCTTTTTTGTTGCAGATTTCCTGAAAAACACCAAGCCTGCATCTCTATAAACACATAAACCAAGCCAGCATGAACCCTAAAAGTAAAATGACATTTACACAGAAATTAGCCCCAAAGTCCTCAGTTCACACATGCAAACCTGTCCTAAACTGATCCTTTTTTGAATATATTAATAGTTCAAAAAGGTATGTCAAGAGAACCTCCAATATAAATCATTACTCTGGATAACTGATTTTGCTTCTTAACTTTAAACAAATATACACACATACACACCCTAATGTGTTCTTCTAAGGGAAAAAAATCTTAAGGTTTTCATGTGTACCGTGGGGACACGGTAGTTATGTTACTGAGTTCTTGTGAGGATTCCACACAGACAATGTATATGTACATGATATGTATATGTATGTGTGAAGGGAGAAGCTGGTTAGAAACAGCATCACAGTAATTACATTTGCCTAGAAGGCAAAGAAATTCCCAGAGGTACTATAATATTATAGCAAACCAACAGAAGAGAAAAATAATTCCAGGTAATGATAAAACCATACCTTAGGCTACAACCTAAACAGGAAATAAGTTAAAGAAACAAACAAACGTGTAGGAGAGGGGACAAGACACTTCCTAACGTTAATGATCCCATTTTGGGGGATTTCAAGACAGATCAATTTCCTTTCTGCTTCCTTTAAACACTACTGTAATAAGCCTGGCAGCAACTAGCATGAAACAAATCAAAACACCTTGTATTTTTCCTTCTGACCAGTAACCTAATGATGTCATTAAACACACAATACACAACTCATAAGTAGGAGTCCTCCATAACTGTGCCTTATAACTTGGGAGGAAAAAACCCCCACAAAAGCCCTCACTTATAATTTGAAATTATTCACATAAAATTTTAAATAAAAACTACTTTCTCACCAGCAATAGAAGCCTTTTAAGTAAGTGGAAGAGGGAGAGGAAACTAATTGCTCACAAGCTGGTAAAACTGTGCACTGTTACCTGTGGGTTCTAGTTCTCTCCAGCTGCCCAGAAAGAGGCACATTATACTACTTGCCTGCCGCAGGGGTTCCAGATATGGATTCTTATTTTTCTAAAGCATGTCCCTACTGAATGAGGGAACTACTGAGAGAAAAAAACAAACCTGCTGAATTTCTATGGCCACAAGCTTTGCTTTTTAATTTAAATCTAATCTATTTCAAATCAGGACATGTTCCTCCAGTGAGGGAGGTAGGGTGATGAAGGCAGCTGCTTTTATATTTATTTGCAAAATGGGAAACAGCAGGTGTCCTTACTATCTGCAGAATCTAATGGCCTGATTATTCAACCTGGCTTTACACCAGTGGTTCAGCAGTCTTGGTTGCACATTAGAATCATCTAAGAAGCTTTTAAAAACCTAATGGCCAGGCAACACCCCAGACTAATTAAGTAAGAACCACTGGGAGTGACCGTGCAGGCATTAGTATTTTTTAAAGTCCCCCCACCCTGGGGGGTTTCTAGTGTGCACCTGGGTTGATTTGGCTACCCCAACACACAACTCTGCTTTCTCCCTTGCATTACCAAATCCAGTTGAGCAGGAATTGGAAAGTGCCGACCTACTGCTTGCAGGAAGAACTACCACTTTCCCCCCACATTTGAGAAAAGACCCAACACTTGCCTCTGCTTGAGAAATGTAGAGGTTTATATATACTAGAAAGACATCAGAACGAGTATCTATGATACAAAGAATTAGCATTCACAGTTAGCAATGCTTAAGGATGACTACACACTGGACAGTAGACATAAAGAAAACTATAGACTGAACATTTAAAAACCAGAGAGAAGGTTAAGAATACCCAGCCCACTGAATATACTGTAAGGTGCCCTGCCAATAACATCATTCATTTTATTTGCCTTACAGCAAGAGACCTGTTTTGAAGGACGTGCATATGACTAGAAGGGGATGGGGCCATGAGTGTGGAGAGGTTTGTGCGCACGTGTGTACAGAGGTAAGACGTCTCTCTCTGGTTAAAAGCTACTAAGTAGAATGGCAGCCGGAAGTTCATGTTTAAGAAAGAGAAACACCAGGCCACCCACCCACTCACCTCATCTATAAAGCTAAGTGGCCAAACTGGACAACTCCAGAGAATTCACATCTGATGCCGATACTCCACTGAGCATCTCCCCACCCTGCTCAGAGAGTTTGGCGGGATTCCCGATCTCACGTACCAGTGGCTTTAGTGACAAACAAGAAGCTTCTTCAGGTCATTACTTCAGGCTTATTTCTAGGCTCACAGTCCTGATCCTCATTAAGTTCAATCTTATAACACAATCACCACTTTAGCTTTCCAGTATGAAGAAAGCTAGCATTCTCCAACACCACACTAAACTTTTTGGCTACACTTGGTCTATGAGGACCTCTGAATGTGGGTGTGTGCCACAGCACTCTTTCCAGGGTGGCGCAGTGGAACTCATGGACTCTCTCTTGGTCTGGTCTACTCTTGGCAAGACACAGTGTTCCTGGAAGGGAGGCCAGATCAGAAGTGATGGTTATCTAGCTACCCAGCAGTTAGGCTCAGAATACGGCTTCTTGACTGTGCTAGGCATACCACTGCTTTGCAATGACTAACAATGGTGGGTTTTCACTGGGTACATTTCCAATGAAACTCTATTTCCTTTTTAATTCTTATTCCCCAAGGACATGCCAGTTAACACAGAAGCCAATCAAGAAAGTAATCTCAGCATTAGGTTACACTTCAAACACACTTTCTTGTTAAATCTCTTCGCTCATACACTCAAAATCATTTACTGAGTGCCTCCTACATGCTAGGTGGTGGGCAAGGTACAGGGACACAAGGATGATAAAGGCAATGAGTGAGGGGACACGGAGATCAGCAAATCCTCACTCCACTCCTGCACTGAGTCCTATGACCCCTGTGTACTCTGACCTCTTCATCCCTAAAATGGGGACACAGTAATTATGTTACTGAGTTCTTGTGAGGATTCCACAAGACAATGCCAGTAAAGTGTCTAGCCCAAGACAAACCCCCAATGGCGAAGACTTCTAAGTTACAAAGGAAACAAACATAATGCAAAATGGATGATTACTCCAACCACAGGGCTGGGAAGGAGAGTAATAATGGTCCCCGGATGCCTTCCAAGGGTGCAGTTCACTCTGTGCTCAGTTTTCAAGGACAACAGCCCCTCAGGAATTAGGGAAAGCCTGTGTTACAAGATGAGCACTCGTAACTGTGTTACAAGATGTACACCAGGGCTGCTGGACGCCCCTCTAACTTCTGCCTTGCCAAACAGAACAGACCACCTCACCAAATGCCCAGACAGAAGTCCTAGCATTGTTTAACTTTGGACAGGCATGAACACTTGGAATGGATAAATGTCCTGACAGCACAAGTGTCCTTTACCCAGAGAGAGATGGGGAAAGAGCTTTGGAATGGCAGTCAAAGGACTCCCTAGTTTCATCACACAAGAAGCAGCAGCTCTGAGGCAGAATTTAGGAAAATTACATGACCAAGCCACTTCCAAAACCCCCAAGATTATTTGTACTACATGTGAAAAATAGCAGTAACATAAAATCCTGCCTATGTGACAGGGCCTTATTCAAGTCAAGTGAGACAATGCGTGTGGGAATCATTTGCAAAACTTTAACCCCACAGCATGAATTAGGAACCAAAATGTGCTCAGCCTTCTCCCTTTGGGAACTCCAGGGATTCCTCCTCGGGATATGGTTCAGAGCTCTGGCAATTTGTCCAGTGAGACCACAATCTGGCTTAAAAAAAAGCTCTGAAAAGCCAATTACTTACTCTTTCCAAACAAAAAGAAAGGAAGTATCAAAGTGTATCAGTTTGCTAACTTTAGTCCTTTATTGCTGCTTAGTTAGCCAGTAGGGCAGACTGATAAATTAGGATGTGGTCAATTACCTTAAGGATTTAACTTCCTTTTGAGAGGCAGTGCTTTCTCTTGAGATCCCAAGCACCACAGAATAACTCACATTTGTAATGTTTGCAAAGCGATTTCACATTCTGCAGTAAGCTCTAGACAATCTTAGAACTTACTACAGAAGAAAAAAAGACTGATATGAAAGAATATTGTTAAAAATACACATATTTTATAATACTGTACTAGGCTTAAATGAACTCTGTAAGAAGCCAATGGAAAGCACATTAGTCCTCAGTTAAAGAAATGAGGCAAATTGTGAACGCTTAGCCAAATGAAATCTCAGAACTTATTTTTTAAATAAAAACATCCCTCGCCAGACTGGAGAAGCCCCACATGACAGTCCCATTTAACCATCTGGAAATATTTTCTATGTTCAATTTTTGGGAGAGTTAAAAAGAGACATAAAAAAGATAGCTTTCTCTCAAAGGTAAAGAACTTGCCATGTATAGAGTTCTATAAAAATAGTTAAAGTAAAAAACCACAATTCAGGAACAAGTTCTTATAATACAATGTTAGGCAAGTCATCTAACTGCTGTGTTTTTTTTTCCTCTTTATATAATTAGTGCTTATAAGATAATAAAAACCTCAGGTAAAACTTCCAAAGATTAAGGCAGCAATGTTCACTCCTGTGTCCATCATTGCTATGTTTAGCTGAATAGTCTGAAAAGCTTTCTTCAAAGCTGAATGAATCTGACCACCAAACTCAGCCATATAGCGATGAAAACCACACCTGAGGGAGAAGGTAAACCAGGTAACCTATTCAACTTTTCTTCTGGAAGTTGCTTTTTGTAATTTGTGGAAACTGTTCCAGATTACATGAATATTATGAAATGGAAATTTGTTAAGTTTCAATTAAAGCATTCATAAACAACGAGCCCTACTACTGGGCTGAACAAATCCAAGTAGAGTCCAGTAGGAGGAACAGGACTGAGGCAACTTTTCCTTTACGGTTACCAGGACCAGATTTGCTTTGAAGATACTATGAACCATTACCAACACCATCACATATAACTACAACACCAAAACAAACAAACAAACCCCACAATGTTAAGCCATATAATAAGTGTAAGGAAGTCCAACCAAGTTCTGTTTTTCCTTGTTGGTTGTATGGATACACTTTCTGAAATCAAATTATTCCCAGAAACAGCTTTTGGAGCTCCTGTTTTGCTGGTGTCCTAAAAATATACTTAAACTTCCCACTAGGGGCAACTACACTGACAAAAAGGGGTCTTGAAAGATATAGTCCTTACCTCCCCCTCTTGGAAAAGTACTAGAAGAGAAATGGGAATCACCCAGTCACCCTTAATACACTCAAAGATTCATTTTGCAAGAGCTTCTTTTTTAAGATTAAGGGAAGGCTCAGACAAATCTTACCTCTTTTACCATGTACTTTTTTTCCACCAAAAATAATTATTCCAACTGTATTTACCTCTCCTGGGAGGAGACATCCTAATCAGCCCACTTCTTTACTAAAAATATACCTGAGTCATTAACGCTGCTATTCCTCTTGGCATAAGCACTCCGAACCACCTGCTCATACACCTGAGCACCTATTGTTCTCATGTTGTCCCGGATCAGAATACCTTGCGCTTGCATCATGAAGAGGTAGGTGTTCACTGCAGAAAACAGAAGAGAAGGGAAAAGGGTGAATTCAAAAGCACTTACTAAAACTGTTTTGTTTTACAGAATTCACATAACTTCGGGTTTTTCCTTTTTAAACCTCCTTCCAGCTCTAAAACCCTACAAATGCCATAACTCTACTTTCCATACTGGGTTCTACATTTTTAGGCACTAACATTCCTTGGGTACCTAGTAGGACCTATGGGAATTTCTGTTAATATTCAGCAGTTTTAGAAAAACCATAAATTTAAAAAATTATATTCTAACCAGGTCTTCAAATATGTCATCTGTATTCTAGCACCTGTGATCAGGAAGACCTTAATAGATCAATTACTACATTTTTAAAAGATCTCTGCTCTCTTTGGATCACCTTCTTGATTCAATGGCTGCTCTCAGGGAAGGGAGCCTGACTATTCTGCCTCCTAGGAACACTCAGATCCAACCTTTTCAAAGGGGTGGGCTAAGGCTCCAGCTACTTTTCTATGGGGGATTTGGAGAGAAGAAGAAGATAATGAAACAATGTCAGCAGTCCTGACCACCCACCCACTCATCCAGTATCAAATTCATCCAGTATCAAATTTATAATGTGGTTCTGTGGTATTTTTTTTATCATTGGGCTATACAGTTATGTATATCATACATATTATATGTAACAGCCCTGGAATCTTCCATCTCTAATATACTTCTAAACCAGTTGTCTTCAATAATATTAAAACCAAGTATTTATTGAATGTTGTGTAAAGCTGTTAGCTGGCAGCAAAAACTGCACTACTGCCCCCCCATTCATCATATCCTCTGCATTTTTTTTTTTTGGTATGATTAATCTACAATTACACGAAGGACATTATGTTTACTAGGCTTCCTCAGCACTTTTTATCTTCAGTACTACAAAGGACACTGTTGTTAACCCCTCCTAAATTCTCTCCCTTTCTTAGTTCTCAGAATCCCAAATGTAGGATTCCTCTAGGGCAAATTCAAACTGTCCCCAGGCTATCAGCTGGAGAGCACTTGGAAGACTTTTTCCTAACAACCTGCCTTCCTATCCTTCAGTGTGTCTGAGTGGAGCTCACAGATGATACCAAGGTGGCTGGCTGGTCTTAGGACCACATTTCCAGAACTACCGCTCTAGGGAACTAGCTACATAATAAATAAGTAACATTTAAGGAGCACTTAACTACATCATTCTTTATCTCATTTAATCCTCATAATTATCCTAAGAGCAAGTAATACTATCTAATTTACAGTCAATTCAAGGTTCAGTTTCTCCATGTAGCTTCATAAGGTCAACTGAGGGATGGATCTGATAGGTGTACCTCTGCTCTAACCCACAAAACTATAAACCCTGGCTCATCCCTGTTCTAGCCACAGCCTCTCCCTCAAAGATTTCAAGCACCCACATGGCTTAAATGATTACTCTTACACAGATGGCTCTCAAATCTTTATCTCCTACACAAAGCTGCCAGATTGATCTTTCCTAATTACAGGTTTAACCACACTGCTCCTTCTTAAAAAGCCTTCTATGTTCTCTAGCCCTCACCCTTGGGTTTCTGCTGATCGGCAAGGACTCCTGCTCTCCTTCCTGCCATGCAAATCCTATTGATTCCCAAACCCTGGTTTATACATTCTCTAGTTTCCCCCTTCTTAAACTTCCATGGTACTGTTACAGATTATCAAAATTTTGCCTTTTGTTTATATTTTGTCTTAGCTTGTGAACAATTGTCCTATGGGTCACTCTTCTCATTCAACGAACAGACACAAACCACATATTATCAATGCTTTTTCTAATTATCCACAGGAATTAACACAATGCTGAAAAAAATAAAAGGCTGAAGAAATAAGTTTTGGCAAACAAAAGAAAATTATTACTAATTCACAGACTCCGGATTGGATGAGGTTTTAAGAACAGTTTTCTCTACCATCTAATGCTTCCACACCACCCAAAAACTACGCCTTCCAAGTACAGAGTCAGTATGTAAAATACAGTCACCTCCAAAGAAAATTCTTCATTGGGTTAGGCCCAGAATGTTTCCCAGTCACTTTTACCCACTGGTTCTCAGTCAGCCCCTTGACAGAACAGTGAAATCCCTTTCCCACACTTCAGATACTGGCAGATAGGCATTTTCAATCTCCCTCACCCTCGCGCCCACCTCTGGTCCACCTAACCTTCCTGTGTCCCCGGCTGGACAGCCCCACTCCCTGTGGGTGCTCCTTCCCTCCCCATCCTGGCTGCTCTCCTCTGGATGCTTGACAGAGGGTGGTGCCCATGCTGGCAGCCAGGTGCAAGTGTAGGCTGATGGGCCCAGAAACAAGGAGAACTAGCAGCGGCCCTGCTGCATCTGTTACCAAAGCTGTTGTCTGGAGCTCCCTCTTGGAGACCCACTATACACAATAACCAAGACCAAAGAAACTACAACCAAGATGTTCAATTATCTAACCTGCCACTTCCCAGACCAGCCCTTACCCCCAGTAATAGCTACTAATATTACCAAGTGGTTCTGTGCAAAACTCACTTTGGGAAATTGTGTCTTGGTTTATTTATATTAATAGAATTTAAAACTTCCTTTACATGGGAGGTAATCCATAGGTAAGTGCTAAACCTTGGTGGTAAATAGCAGTTACATTATATTACTGATTTCACATTAAGCTAGCTGGAGGGAAAATCCTTAATCTTTTTAGTATGTTGCAGCCAAGCTGCCCCTCTCCTGTGCTGTGCTCATGCAGCTGGCTGTACAGATCAAACTGTAGGACCTGACAAGTGTCTCTACTGAAGCCCTATTATACTAAATTTAGCCAATGGCTCTGGCCTTAACTATGAAATGTATATGCACACACACTGCTTTTGATCTAAATTATCTCATTAAAATTCCTATCTTTGTGAAGTAGGCATCATCTTCATTTCTTATTTTAGATAAGGAAGTCAAGTCCTCCAGAAGTAATTTCCCCAAGGTTAGTGAAGTCAAAAACAGAGATGAGGCTGGGTATTCCACATTTTGATGAACTTATGGGAAAATGGCACTTTCTGATATTACGGTCCTGATCAACAGTTGCTGAATCACAGCTAAAAAACAATTTAAGTTGGCATAGTTGTTAAATCCTCCATTGTGCCAACAAGTATCTACTGGGCACCTACTTTCCCGTGTACTTTTTACACACAGACAGGCCAGCAGGGGCCAAGGATGAGTAAGCACAGAATAAGGTACAGACACAATTAAACAAGAAATTACAGCATAGTGTGATAAATGCTAAAATAACATTCACTACAAATTCAGACTTACTGATAACTTTTTTCACACCTTCATGAGGAAGTGTAATCATTATTCAGCCCCAGTATCTAGACTGAGGGATCTCTTATGACTATAATTCAGTTGAAAAAAATCAGCCCCATTCAGATTTACACAATCAGAAATTTCCATCCAGATGCCAAAGGATGCAGCCTTGGCCCATGGCTCCCTCCCCCTGGAGCGTTTCTGAGAATAAGCACTGCGTCTCCCAACAGAAGACATACTCTCCCCTCAACACTAGAATTCCAGTCAGCCTCTGCATCCGTATGTATCAGGTATCACGATTTTCACTTGAACACATACATTAATAAATGGCTGACTCATAAAAATTCTTCACAAGATAATGAAATCTGACATTCCAGATCAGGAGCAAAATAATTTGATAAAATGAATCCAAGAGGAAAGACAGTATTACTAGATTCTATATAAAGAATTTGTAATTTTTTTGTCCTTAACACATGAATCTTTAATGTGTGTTACATTTGGCTTGGTAAACTAGAAGAGAGCTAAGTAGAAAAAGAAAACCATGCCTTTCCTGACCACTCTTTAAAATCTGTGTCTGACCCACAATACTCCAGGCACACATGTATGCAAACTCCAAACTGTCCTCCTGGGTTTTATTTTTCTGTTGTATGTATTACACATTTTCTTACTTGTCTCATCTATTGTTATCTCCCTCACTAGAATGTGAGCTCTACAAGGGCATGAGGCAACGTCTGTGAGAGCTAGAGGAATGTGTCTGGAACACAGAAGATGCAAAATAATGTTTGGATAAATGAGTACCTAAGTTAGGACAATAAACGATTTTATCTTCTGAACTTGCTGTGTCTGTAGAGGCATGGATATGGGATTCTGAGCCCTCTCTTGTATTAGCTCCCTAGTTTTTTCTGAGAGACACCCAAAATGGCGTCAACCAGCTTCACTGAATTAACCTGTTCCTAAGTTCAATTTTACCACTGACCAGAGTTGCCAAATAGTTAAGTTTTTCCCAAAAAATGTTCTCTGGTATGCTCACTCTTCAGAAAGTTGTTTAGTTTTTTAATGCTCCTTAATATTATAATGCATAATTTTATTCAAAACCATGTGCAACGTTATTTTTTATTTTAAAAAAAGGGGGGGATATCTGTATGTCCTTCCAAAAGAGACTAGTTGAATAACTTATTGTACATCCACACAGATGGGAGTACTGCTGATGCTATAAAAAGGACTGATGAGGCCAACAGACACATGAAAAGATGCTCCTCATCACTAATCATCAGGGAAATGCAAATTAGAACCACAATGAGATATCACCTCACACCAGGTAAGGATGGCCAGCATCGAAAAGACTAAGAACAAATGCTGGCAAGGATGTGGAGAAAGGGGAACCCTCATACACTGCTGGTGGGAATGTAAGCTAGTTCAACGATTGTGGAAAGCAATATGGAGGTTCCTCAAAAAACTAAAAATAGAAATACCATTTGACCCGGGAATCCCACTCCTTGGAATCTGATCCAAAGAATACAACTTCTCAGATTCAAAAAGACTTATGCACCCCTATGCTTATCGCAGCACTATTTACAATAGCCAAAATATGGAAGCAACCTAAGTGTCCATCTGTAGATGAATGGATAAAGAAGATGTGGTACATATACACAATGGAATACTATTCAGCCATAAGAAAGAAACAAATCATACAATTTGCAACAACATGGATGGAGCTGGAGGACATTATG